CTGAAAAGCTGCCACAAAATGGATTAACTTTTATATCTTTGAGTATTTATTTGTAGAAAAGTAGTATTTTCTCTTATAACCAAAAATATTTGCAAGAAAACAATTTTTATAACTTTTATGGGAAAGTGAGGGATATTAAGGTCAAAACTAGATTTTATCTGTCTTAAATATACTTAACTTCATACCAACTAGTGATAGTTAGAACCAAATTTTATTTTTGAAACAAAGGGTTCTAATCAGATTGATCTTCATGAAATAGCACCTTTGAAAGGCACCATTTAGGTTTTAGTCTTATGATTTGTCTCACTTCTACAAACCAGATCATTAAATACAGTACCTTCTAGGAGCTTCCGTACGGCTCAGCAACCTTCCTGCTTAAGGATCTCCAGATAACCGACTTAGAATCTTCCTGTTTTAATGGCTGTAGAAGTATTAAGGAGTCCTTGGGTGGTGCACATGGTTAACATGCTTGCTACTAACCGAAAGGTTGGTGGTTCAGGTCCATCTGGAGGCACCCCAAAAGAAAGGCCTGGCAATCTACTTCTGAAAAATCAGCCACTGAAAACCCTATGGAGCATACTGTATTTTTTATGCAAATAACATGCACCCTCTATGTTTGTCTGCCAACCATGCTCTCCCCTCATCCTGGCAAGGTATTTTCATAAGTACACTGTGCTAATTTTTTTTACAGCGACGTGTAAAAAAAATTGGCATAGCGGTGTTTAGGAAAATAACTCACGGAAGAGGGCGCGCGTTTGGCAGACAGACATGCTATTTGCGTAAAAATACAGTAGTTGTACTCAGACACACACTGGGTCACTATGACTCAGAATCAACTCGAATGCAACTGATATAGGAATATTAATACACCATTCTGTTTTTGGTAATGGATATGGGCAGAATATTACCAGATGTCTCAGGCTCTTGAAATCAAATGTGATGTTTGGTTCCATTAAATGTTACTTAAGTTTTATAAGATATTGATTTGCTAAATATCTGTTTGTGTATTACCATTTGGATAAATTTCTGGAATACATATTGGTAATTCCAAAATCTTCCTTTTGATCTTTCTTTGATTTATAATTATATGCAGTCAGCTATACCTTGAGTATTTACTTGCTAAGTTTATACTTTCTCTTCTGACCGTAAATTGTTTCTACTACATGTAAAACATTAGTATTTTGAAACAGTTTTATGTAAATTTCATTAGTAGGTTTTTTTTTTTTTTTTTTTTTTTTTTTAACTAATGTTAGGTTCTTAAGTCTCTGCTCTTGTTTGTCTACTGCCCTCTCAAAGGCCATAATTTAACTCATTTTAGATACTTGATGTTCTTAGTAAATTCTTGTTAAAATGTCTGTTTTAGTGCACCTTATTATATGGATAATATTAGTTAATTATGATTTCAGAATGGATACACATACCAGCAGCCAATCTGCCTAGTTAAAATTTTATTCATAATATAAAGAAATTTTAAACTTTTTAGCTATATTAGTACTTTGTGTTTACATGGTACATTTTGCATTTGAGGAAGAGGCTTTTTTTTTTTTTAATAAGTGTAGTTTTCAAAACTTAGCTTGGCTATGATAACATTAAAACCAAAAAAAAACAAACCTCTTGCTGTCAAGTCGATTCCGACTCATAGCGACCTATAGGACAGAGTAGAAGTGCTCCGTAGGGTTCCAGGGAGCACCTGGTGGATTAGAACTGCCGACCTTTTGGTTAACAGTTGAGCTCTTAACCACTGAGCCACCAGGGCTCTATGATAACATTAAGAAGGTGCAAATAAAGCATGGGTTCTATTAGCTTTCTGATAAATATGTTAACAAGTAAATCTCTTCGGCCTTTTAAATTTTTTCTTCAACTAAAAAATTCAGCTAAAGTTTTTTCTTGAACTTTACTCCAACTTTAAGAAAGTATTATATTAATTTTATAATAGTTAGATTAATATCTGATAAGTTTATTATATTGTGGTAAAATATATAATAAAAAGTTTGCTATTTTAACCGTTTTTTAAGTGTACAATTCAGTGACACTAATTACATTCACCATGTTGTGCTACCATCACCACTAACCATTTCCAAAAGTTTTACATCACCCCAAGCAGAAACTGAGTACACCTTGAACAATAACTCATTCCCTCCTCCCCCAGCCTTTGTTTTTGTTGTCATTAGTAGCTTTCGAGTTGATTCTGACTCATAACCACTAATAAACTTTTGTTCGTATGCATTTGTCAATTTTAGATATTTCATGCAAGTCAGATCGTACAATATTTGCCCTTTTTTGTCTGACTTACTTCACTCAGCATAATGTTTTCGAGGTTCATCCATGTCAAAGCATGTGTCAGAGCTTCATTTCTCTTTATGGCTGAATAATATTCCCATTGTATGGATATACCACATTTTGTTGACCCATTCATCTGTTGATGGACACTTGGGTTGTTTCCACTTTTTGACTGTTGTGAATAATGCTGTAATAAACATTGGTGTACAAGTGACTGTTTAAGTCCCTGCCTTCAAGTCTCTTGGGTATATACACAGGAGTAGAATTGCTGGGTCATATTTTATGTTTAACTTCTTTTTTTTTTTAATTGTGCTTTAAGTGAAAGTTTACAATTCAAGTTAGTTTCTCATACAAAAATTTATACGCACATTGTTATGTGACCCTAGCTGTTCTCCCTGTACTGTGACAGCACACTCCTCCTTTCCACCCCGGATTTCCCATGTCCCTTCAACAAGCTCCTGACCCTCTCCGCCTTCTCATCTCACCTCCAGACAGGAGCTGCCTGTTTAGTCTCATGTATCTGCTTGAGCTAAGAAGCACACTCTTCATGAGTATCATTTTGTGTCCTGTAGTCCAGTCTAATCTTTGTCTGAAGAGTTGGCCTTGGGAATGGTTTTAGTTCTGGGCTAAAAGGGAGTCCGGGAGCCATGTCTTCCAGGGTCCATCCAGTCTTAGTCAAACCGTGAAGTCTGGTGTTTTTACTAGAATTTGAGTTCTGCACCCCACTTTTCTCCTGCTCCATCAGGGAATCTCTGTTGTGTTCCTGTGAGGGCCGTCATTGGTGGTAGCTGGGCAGCATCTAGTTCTTCTGGTCTCAGGCTGATGGAGTAACTGGTTTATGTGGTCCTTTCTGTCCTTGGGTTAATATTTTCCATGTGTCTTTGGTGTTCTTCATTCTCCTTTGCTCCAGGTGGATTGGGACCAATTGATGCATCTTAGATGGACGTTTACTAGCTTTTAAGACCCCAGACGCCACTCACCAAAGTGGGGTGCAGAACATTTTCTTAATAAACTTTGTTATGCCAGTCGACCTAGATGTCCCCTGAAAGCATGGTCCCCAAACCCCCACCCCTGCTACTTTGTCCCTCAAAGTGTTTGGTTGTATTCAGGAAACTTCTTAACTTTTGGTTTAGTCCAGTTGTGCTGACTTCCCCTATACTGTGTATTGTCCTTCCCTTCACCTAAGATAATTCTTGTCTACTATCTAGTTAGGGAATACCCCTTTCCCTCCCTCCCTACCCTGATAACCATCAAATAATGTTTTCTTCTGTGTTTAAACCTTTTCTTGAGTTCTTATAATAGTGGTCTCATACAATATTTGTCCTTTTATGACTAAATTAACTCAGCATAATGCCTTCCAGATTCCTCCATGTTATGTTTCATGGATTCGTCGTTGTTCTTTATCGTTGTGTAGTATTCCATTGTGTGGATATACCATAATTTGTTTATCCATTCATCCGTTGATGGGCACTGAGGTTGTTTCCATCTTTTTGCTGCCGTGAACAGTGCTGCAGTGAACATGGGTGTGCATATATCTATTCGTGTGACGGCTCTTATTTCTCTAGGATATAGTCCAAGGAATAGGATTGCTGGATCATATGGTACTTCTATTTCTAGCTTTTTAAGGAAGTGCCAAATTGATTTCCAAAGTGGCTGTAACATTATATTATATTTAACTTTTTGAGAAACCATCAAATTGTTTTCCATAGCAGCTACACCATTTTACATCCCCACCAGCAATTTCTCCACATTCCAGTTTCTTCACATTCTCACCAATACTTGCTAGTTTCTGTTTTCTCTGATAATAGCCACCTTAGTGGATGTGAGGTGGTATCTCACGGTGGTTTTGATCTGCATTTCCCTAGTGACTAATGACATTGTTCATCTTTTCATGTACCTATTGGCCATTTGTATATCTTCTTTGGAGAAATGTCTATTTAAGTCCATTGCACATTTTTTCATTGAGTTATCTTTTTGGTGTTGAGTTGCAGTTCTTTATGTATTCTGGATGTTAAACCCTTATCAGATATGTGGTTCCCACATATTCTCTCCCATTCTGCAGGTTGTTTCTTCAACTTTTTCTTTTAAAATTATTATTCATTGACCTTCTGGCTCTGATTAATTATAACAAAACTTAAATTTAATTCAATTAAGTTATGTTTTCACATTTTCTAGATGAAGTTTAGCGTATCCATGCTTTTTTCTCTGTTGTACTTGTTTCAAAATATTCTCATTCATCTATGTATTTAAAATTAGCTAGAGAACTATGTTCTACCGCTAATTGGATTTTTTGTTCTTTAATATAGTTAGTATTTTTATTTAAAAATTAGAAGATTTAAGGATTTAAAAATACCTATTTTAAACTTTATAACAGCATCTGTGTGTGTGTGTGTGTGTATACTCCCCAATTTAGCACAAATTGGTCCACTTGGCTTGGTCTTATAATTTTCTTCTTCTTTTTTTTTTCTTAACTAAATATCTTCGAGAAGAATTTTTACTGTTTTAGGATGGATGAAGTTGTGTTTTGGGGGGAGGTAGCAGGGAGGAACCCATTCACATTTGTCCTGTAAAATAAAAATCTAACAAATTATAATTCAGAGATTGTAATATACTGCTACGCAAACAGTGTGTTAGGACTAATGGTCCCTTTCATGGAGACCTTTATTTACTCTTAACATTTTGGTGCCAGATTAATAACTTTTCCTGTTTGTAATTTATAGCTTACCAGCCATGAAGCAGAATGGAGTTCCAGCCACCCAGGAGAGGATGCAGTGGCATCTTTTGCTGATGTTGGATGGGTAGCCAAAGAACGAGGAGAATGTTCAACAAGAATAAGGTTAGTTTGAAAGGCTATCAGATCTAAGATGCAGGCTTTATTATTTTAAAGGATGATACATTTGCAGTATTTCCTTTTAATACCAATTTGATCTCTAATAACTAGCCCAGTTATTTTTCTTGAGGAGTCTTCTTGACTTGAAGAGTTCTTAAGTGGAAAACAAAACTCTTTTTCATTTTTAAGATGCAGAGGTTCTTACAGACATAATTGTATCCTGAGTCACTATGAATATACAGAATTCCCTGCCCTTCAGAGGAGTCCTGGTGGTGCAGTTGTTAAAACACCCAGCTGCCAACTGAAGGGTTGGCAGTTCGAACCCACCAGCTGCTCCATGGGAGAAAGGTGTGGCAGTCTGCTTCCATAAAGATTTACAGCCTTAGAAACCCTTTGGGGCACTTCTGCTCTATCCTGTAGGATCACTATGAGTTGGAATCAGCTCAGGGGCAGTGAGTTTTGGGTTTCCTGCCCTTCAGAAGTTTACATTCTAATAGGAGAGACCAGAAAGAATTATCATAAATGTTTAGATAAGTACAATAATTATAGTGGTCTCATTGAGGAAGAAGAATCCGTCTGGATCATATTAAGAATGTGTGCCATCATTGGACAATGTTTCCTAAAAATTGTGAGTTAAGATGAATTGTGATTCAAAGGAAACAATGTATAAGGGTTAGGGAGGTGCTTCCATTTATTTGAAAGAGCCTGAATCAGTGTTGACTACACATTTAATGTAGTAAACATTCAGCATACACTGTTCATTCTTATTAGGCATCAAGGATACAGAGATAAAATTAACTCACAGCCCCTGCTTTCCAAGGATACCTGGAGCTTAAAAAGGAAATCAGAAATATTGATACTGTAAAGTCTAAGAAGTAAATATAGAGGGCCACTATGGGAGTGGAGAGGTTCGGAAAGGCTTCTCAGCGGATTGAGTGCTAGAGCTGCCTGACGAAGGATTAGTAGGAGCCAATCAAATGGGAAGCTTGTATTCCAGGTTATCTAAAGTTTTTAGTTACGAGACAACGTAGCATGTTTAGAAGATTCCAAAAGTCTTATTGAGACCAGACGGTATCAGAAGAAGGGGAAGCTGTGGGAGATAAAGATGGAAAGTCAGTAGAGGTTTCAAGGTCACACGCGTTATACTAGGAGGTTTAGACTTTTTCCTGAAAGCAGTGTGGAGCCCTTGAAGTAGTATGATTATCTCTGTGTTTTAGTAAGATTTCCCTGTAAACATCATGAAGAATAGAATGGAGCAAGAATTGGAGGAGAAAAGGGGAATCAGAAGGTGACTGTTGAAATAGACCAAATAATAGATGACCAGAGTTTGATTAAATTAATCAACTGGTAGAAGAGCTGGAGAAGAGGGGCAGAGTCAGGAGAATTGAAAGAACTTAGAAACTTATTACATATGGGGGTTAAGGTGAAGGAAAAGTCTAGGATAACTCCCAGGTTTCAGTCTAGGATAATTCTGAAGATAGTGGAATAATTCATAGGAATATAGGAAAACTTAGGGTTTTTCTGATGGTTATAGGAGGAGATAGTTCAGCTTAGAACATGCTGTATTTGAGTTTTCTATGGAGTATTCAAGGAGCCCTGGTGGCACAGTGGTTAAGGGCTTGGCTACTAACTGATCAGTTAGTGGTTTCAACCCACTGCCTGCTCCATGGGAGAAAGATGTGGCAGTCTGCTTCTGTAAAGTTTAGAGCCTTCGAAACCTTATTGGGCTGTTCTGCTCTGTCCTGTAGGGTTGCTATGAGTCAGAATCGATTTGATGGCAATGGGTTTTGGTTTATGGGATATTCACATTGATCTAGACTAGAAACAGTTTATGTAGATAGATACAGAAACATGTAGATAGAATGGCTGATACTGAGGGTGCCGTGCCCAAGGAGCATACATAGAACATGAAGAACATTTGCATCCTTGACGAAGCCAGCATTTGGGAGTTATAAGGGAAAACAGAAAGAGCCTCCCAAAGAAGCAGCTCAAGAGGCAAGAAAACCAGCAGAAGGTGGTCATGGAAGCAGAAGTAGGAGAAAGTTTCATGGAAGAGAAGTAAAGTAGTCATCAGTGTCAAGTACTTAGAGGCTAGGTAAGTTGGAGAACTAGCAGATTTCAACTTTGTTTCTCTGGAATAAATGCCCATGAGTGCTCTTGTCTTTTTTTAAGAAACTGACAAACTCTTTCCCAGAGTTACTGTACCATCTCACATTCCCAGCAGCAGTGAATGAGTGTTCCAGCTTATCTGCTTTATCCTCATCCTTGTCCGCATTTGCTGTTGTCACATTTTTTAGACATTTCTCAGCTCTTTCTTCTCAGTATGGGGCTTAGAAAAGGAATAGTAATTGAATCTTTGCAAGCCAAACATACTTCCCTATCCCACAAATATTCCAAATTAAATAAAATAAAGTTGGGATTATCACTGCTAGCTAAGCCAGGGCTAGGTAAGACCCCCGACATTTATTCTCCAAATCTTTTTATTTAAAAATGGCTATAGGAAAAAAAAAAAAAAAACCACCACAATGTGCAAACATCCTCTATATATGGTAGTTTAATTAACAAGAGCATAAGTAGAATTACATATGAAGAAAATCACCTGAATTAAGTGTATAATACTAAAAGCTAAAAGTACAAGGATTCCTGCATTCAAAATATAAAGTCAAAACAATGAAGAATTATCACAACTCTCAAGCAAAAATAAAACACCAACATGGGATCATTATGAGTCAGAATGAACCAGACGACAGCTAACAACAGTTAAAGGAAAACAGAATTCAGTGCAGTTGGATGTCCTCACAGTTAGGGTTAAGTTTGACTGCACGTAACTGAGAAGTCCAGAATAATTGTGGCTTAAACAAGATGAAGTTTATTTTTCCTCTCAAGATAGTTTTTTTCCTCTCTCAAAGATATCCAAGGGTAGATGGTTTAGAGCTCATAGTGGTTCCATAGAGCAGGGACCTAGGCAGACGCTCTGCCAGCCTCGGTGTTAGCTTCCATCCTGGAGGTTAGCTCTGGGCCTGTGTGAGGCTGGAGTCTGTCATCACGTTGCATTCAAGGCTCTCAGCAGGAGGAGAAGGTGGGGCTGGGATAATAGGACTTCTTCTCCATGGAGGCGTCTCCCTTTAAAGCAGCCTTACTAGATGGCTCACTAACATTTTGCTTGCATCTTGTTAGCCAAAACTCAGTCACACGGGCACGCAAAACTGCAAGGAAAACTGGGAAATGTAGTCCTTTAGCTGGGCATGTGGCTGCCCTGAATGAGAGTTTCCTCTCTTCCTTCCTTCCTTCCATCTCCCGCCCTCCCCTTCCTCCCCTTCCTTTCCATCCTTTGTCCTTCTTCGCGTCCTGACATAAGTCAAATGCCTTTTTTTTTTTTTAGTTTTCATTATTATTGCATTTTAGTATCAGTATCTTTATAAATCTTCTCTTTGAACATCTGCAAGTGAATACCTGAGAATGTCAACATCAGCAAATTACACACTGCAGCACTGTATGTAGCACGTTACTAACAATAAGACGGTAAAAAAACAGATGATCCTAAACGCAGTTCGTTGCAACTCGAATACACCGTTAAGTCAGGGACTGCTTGTAGTTAGTGTGCCATATTTTAAGAGCATTAAAAGTTTCTTCTCCTTAGTACAAACCAAAACAAAATAAAACATGAATTTAGCAAAAACATTGTTGGGATCTGTGATGCCTCCTGATAGCGTTGGTTTGTTGGCTTATACCGTGGCTGAGATTAAGAAAGATGACGGCAGTAAGAAACCCAGATATGGTATCGAAATAAGGCTGGCAAATGCCTTTGTTGATCTGAAACTTGTAGAGGGGATTTATGTAAGGTCAGCCTGAAAAGTGGATCCCAGACATTGTGTTCTGATGCTCTCTTAACTGGCAATGATGATTTGTCATGTCCCCTCACGGGGCCTGTGACAGCCCACCTTTTGTGCCTTTATGTCTTCTTTGCAGGACAGAAGTTAGGTCAAGACATCAGCTTCAGGATGACCTTACTTTTTTTGAGAAACCCCCAAGCAGGCAGGTCTCCTTATCAAACCTGTCTCAGGAAGAGCCTCCACCGAGGACTGCAGCGCTGGCGAGCGAGGAAGCCCTGCAGAAGATTTGTGCTCTTGAAAATGAGCTTGCTGCCCTCCGAGCCCAGATCGCCAAAATCGTGACCCTGCAGGAGCAGCAGACTCTCACTGCAGGTGCGCGCGTCCTGCATCCGCTTGCTTTTGCAGGCAGGCTGGGAATTAGAAGAACATCACTTATTTTAAAATTCATTAATAGGTAACAACGATTGGGGGCGTTAGTAAACCAACTGTCAGTCCCCTTTTGCATAGTCCAGTGCAGAACCCAGTCTAGTTGAAATGTATTTGTTTGTTCATTTTGAACAATCCTGACACTAGAGACTATGGCTGGGAAACATATTTGGAAAACACTGCAGTTCATAAAGTTGAATTGCTACTGATGTAAATGATTTCCTTTCTTACGGAAAACTTAGTTGTCTGTGATAATGGCACCAATCGTAACAGACACGAGGAAATCCCAAAACTGCGATTTAGTGAAAGCAGCATGGATTTCTGAACCTGGGGAACATAGTGGGGCTGAATGCTATTTACTCACCTGTATGTCCTGAGGCAGGTTACCTTGCCTTTCTGCCTCCCTCTCCTTCTTGAAAGTGGAGATAACAGTTGCTGTGTTACTGTTCTGTTAGGAGATTAAATGTGGAAATTATGTCAAATGCCTCTAGCACATAGTAGCTATTTAATGGTCATTTTTCTCCCTCTTGCCAGAGTAGAAACCAAATTCAGATCCTCTGACTGCTGGTCTGATACTGTTGCTTTTATTAGTGTGGTGTTATCACGTTGGAGAAGAACCATAGCTGGAAATCCTAGCCCATTAACCTGCTGGGCTAGTAGTGGTGGCTGTTCCTGTTGTTCCTGAGTCCTGGCTGGACTCAGTATTCACCAGTCTGTCTCGGAGACAAGGACAGTTACCCTGCCTCTGCACCTCTTTGCTTCTGGAACATAACTTAATCTACCTGGAAACCTCCTCCAACCCGGATGTGGCAGAGATGGGCAGAGAGGGGAGTGTACCATGTGAAGTAACAGGTGTTACTTTAATGAAATCTGAACAGCACGGAACTTTTAAAACCCTAAAGCCCCTTTTCTTTAAGTTTAGATTGCATTTTTCTTTTGCTTTACCTCCCTCTTCTGGCAGACCAGGAAAACTGCCATAAATAGGAAGATAATTTGGGGGTTTATGTTTTGATGTTCTATTTATAATCTAAATATTTTTTAAATTACCTCTTAACTACTTCTTTTGGAAATTAAGTATAATACTCTTTTCCTCCAGAAATTTGTTCAACAATAAATCTAAAACTTTTTCCTTTAAAAACATTCAGTCAGTGCGGGCTTTTAATGCTTAATAAGGCTTACATGTGAAGTATACTTAAAATGAATCCTATGTTTTTCAGATAAACTTTAGTAGTACTGATGTCAAACTGTATTTATTGAAAATAGAGATATTTACGCAGTACAGACTGTTTTATACTTCTGCTGAAATTAGTTACAAACTGTGCCACAGTCAAACATTCAGTATCACAAAAACTTCCCTGTTAAGCTCAGTGGAGCTTTTCCGTCTGGAGAGTTTTGGATTGAATGATGGAGTAACTGAGACTCAGGCATTTCTAATGAAGTAACTGAAACTGCCCTACTTACATAACTGAGATGCTTTTCAAGGACATTGTTTCCAGTTATACAAAAGTCCTTAACGTATTTTCCTTTTAAAAAGTGGTATTTGATTTGTATATTACTAGCAGGACTGAATTTATTTTTCCTTACCTCTGTAGGAGACTTAAATTCTACCGCATCTGTTACCACAGCACCACCCTCTGTCCTGCCACCTCCACCGCCACCACCGCCACCCCTCCCTTCAGCAGGGTTCCACCAAGGTAGATCTGCCATCGATCTCATTAAAGAGCGAAGAGAGCAGAAAGCCAGCGCTGGAAAGATTTTGGTTAAAAACAGTCCAAAGAAACCCGACATGCCAAATATGCTAGAAATCCTGAAAGATATTAATAGTGTAAAACTTCGGTCAGTAAAGAGGTGAGGCTACATTTACCTGCTTTCTCACTTTCCCCATTGTTTTATATCTTATAAAACAAACTACTAGGCTTCTTGAGAAACTGTTTTATGAAATGCCTACCATGAATAGTTCTTTAAGTTTTTAGTTTAAAGCAGATGGGTTCCAGTGGCTAAGAGATTAGCAAAATAAACATTGCCAGGTTATTTTTAATATTTTCCCCATCTTAGTTAAATATCAGCCCTTTCATATAAAGCCTGTTATTATTGCCCAGTCATTCATTCAATAGAGATATATTGTGTACCTACTGTAGGTTTGCTATGAGTCGGAATTGACTCGACGACAACGGGTTTGGTTTTTTGGATTTTATGCTAGTCTCTAGGCACGCTGAGAAGAATGAAATCATAAGTGCTCTTGAGGTACATTGAGTGGCTATTAATTGGGTGCTTTTGTGCTCTTTTATGGAGCCTAAATCCAGGGTTTCATCTCACTGCTATTAGCATAGCAGACTGTCTTTCTGGGGTGCCTTGAGGCTCGCGAGGTGCTGTGTGACATGTAAGGGCAGACAGAGCATCCACCACCGAGGGACGCCAACGTACTGAAACCCGCTCTCGGTTTCTGTTTACATCTCTAAGGTCCGAGCAAGATGTCAAGCCCAAGCCGGTGGACACTGCTGACCCTGCTGCCCTCATTGCAGAGGCTCTGAAAAAGAAATTTGCATTTCGGTACCGAAGCGAGGTCGATAAAGTAACCCCAAAGTCTGAGTCAGAGACCACCTCAGAAACAGTGTTGGTGAGTATCAGCGCAGAGTTCTCTCCTGCTACAACACGGCAGCAACCCCATTGCTGAGCACCTAGTTTTGTGAGACATTCGCTTATGTCCTGTGGGAGAATCAGGGTGTGGTACAGGATTTAGTCCCTGCCTACAAGTAGATTGCAGCTAGCTGGAAAAAGGATGGCATCTTTGTTTAGTGCTTACACTTTTTTTTTCCCTAATTATAGAATATAAAAATAATAGTTGTTTGTAGTATCAATTTGGAACTTACAGAAAAGTATAAAGAAGAAAACAAAAATTAGCCCGATGACACTGTTAGGCAATCTCCAGCGTCAACAGTTCCATGCATTGTTATATTTATATTTAAATATAATGAAATGCATTATGATAAAATTTATATCTTAGGGCAAAATATGTTGTGATATAGAAATTCAAACTAAAGAAAGATCAGTTTCTCTCACGACACCCTCCAAAAGCTTTCTGAAGAGGATGAGATATGAGCTGGGTGATATCATAGTTGAAGATTTAGTAGACTGCATTGAAGCTCTCAAATACTAATTTATATGTTCCCTTTATCCAAATTACTATCATGGGGGACAAGTGCTTATCTATTCCAGAGAGGCAGGTATCTCAAATTCTAGCACCTTTGAAACTCCTTAGAGACTGGAAAGGAAACTGTGTACTTCCTTCTTTTACTCAAAAAGTAAAATTGGGCTAACTAGTGTATTGCTGAGATCATTGTGGTTTTCTTTTCTAGGAAGTAATTTGGTTACCTGTTTGTCTTTCATTGAAGAATCACTGGTGGGCAGGTTAAGCGTTTGGCTGTTAACCAAAAGGTTGGTGGTTCGAACCCACCAGCCACTCCATGGGAGAAAGATGTGGCAGTCTGCTTCCATAAAGATTTACAGCCTTGGAAATGGGGCACTCCTACTCTGACCTACAGGGTCACTATGAGTCGGAATCGGCTCGACAGCAGTGGGTTTTTGCCTTTCACTGTGTTGATGATGTCATGTTTATACAAGTCTGTCAGTTCATAAAGGTCTTAATATTATAAGTAGCTGCTTGCTTTTTTCATGCAAGAATACTCAGCCCTCTGATCCATGATTTCAGGGGAGGGGATGAAAGCATATCATTATTGTTATATGAACCAGTAGCTTTGTTCATATTTCTTATTTGTTTCTTTTCTAGTTTGGACCACACATGTTGAAATCTACAGGAAAAATGAAGGCTTTAGTTGAAAATGTTTCCAGTTCCTAAATAGACAATGAGCTGAGAAAGACCACTCTTGTTCAGCTGTTGGTTTATTAAGGCTACATTGGCTAGTAGAAATCAACACTGTTTAGTAAATATCTGACTGTAGCTTTCAGTGACCTCCTTTTAAATCTAAATAGAGGATTAAGCAATAACAGAGGCACTAAGTTTTCGGTTTTTTGCTTTTTATAACCCGGGTGTATTCTGACATGTTTTTAATGTGTAGTCTGCATGTTCGGATTATTAGTCTTGAAACCAGTTATATGGATTTCAGAACATAGGATATTTGTGGGTGTTACTGTGAGGTTTTAAATTCCCAAACACTAATTTATCTGTACAAATGTTTTATATGCATATGTTTGGATATAAAACAGTTTATGTTAAATTAGTAATGACGGCAATGAGGGTACTGTTGTTATCTTCATTCGTGTTCAGTGATAATTTATAATACAATGATGGAACAGCTAGTGTAACATAAGTTGTTGCAGTGAAATATTTGAGATTGGAATCTTCTTGCCTTGAACAGAACTTATATCTTAGATTCTTTCTCACATTTTCTTGGAGGTGGGATTTGAGTAGGAACAAGATGATGTTCACTGATGAAATTCCATAATGCTTTTTTTAAGGGAAGTAGAGGACCGGGAGAGTTGCATTTACCACAGTGCCGTTGCGCTGAGGAAGGAAATGTAGTTGTCAAATGGTGAGGAATCAAATTAGTGAATTAAATCCCTTGTCAAATAAAAACCCGAATGTATCATCTTCTTTTAGTTTAATAAATGGCATCATAAAGATGACTTGTCCTAAGTTAATAACACTTTTGGAAATGTCAGCATAATGGAGTTTTAAAATTTTAATAGTGGTCAAAATACTAGCTTTATAATGAAACATTATCGAATAGGTGACAGAATTTCCTATAAATTGTTTGTCACGGGTCAGAATGCTGTTCTGTTGAATTACATTATGCAGTATAAACCTTAGGTATTGTTGGAAAGCAGAGAACTACCTTTCTTATCTAAGGCTTCTAAGGAATTGCTTTTGTGATAATTTTTAAATGCATGATAAATCTTCATGGTTTTCTATTTCTGATAAATTCAGCCACAGTTAATGTCAGAATCTCCTACCATGAGTAAATAGTTTATTATTTAAATCTAGAAAAAAATATTATACTTCCTGTGGGGATTAAAAGATAGGAAGAGTAGATAAACATTCACTTTTAAGTTATTGAAAATATGTGCAATGTTCTCTTAACAGAAAATAAGTTGAGGTCATTTATATGGTTTGGTTGTTTAGCTTAAATGTGAACTGTGGCTTATTTTACTCTTGCAGTTGACGTACATTGTTTGTTTGTTTTATATGGTTTAAAAACTCTGCCTTTAAAAAGAAATTAGGACAGTTCGACTGACATACATATTCTGACCTCCTAAGCAATTTACATTTTTATCCATATTGAATTCTGGCCAGTGCTCCAGTATAAGGAAGTTATTGTTTTAAAATAAAGCAACCTGTTTTCCTGGACCATAGAGCCTATTAGATATATATATTTCTCTTTTTCCAATAGGTAAGATTCTTTTACATTGTACATGTAGCTTGTTTAGGATAGTTTACTTTAAGGAAGTGGAAACATATCCCTTAAAGAAGGTACATCCCATGACTCCTGTTCACCGTTTCTCTTAAACGGCTCAAGAGGGATAGGAGGGCAGTCACGTCGCTTGTAGGAGTTTCCTGAGGTTCCTCAAGCCCCGAATCCGCTTTCGGGATTGGTGTAATGTTTTTCCATCCCACTCCACTCAGTTTCTGATTCTCCCAGCCAACATCAATACCTGAGGTGAAAGATCGTAAAAATAGTAAAACTCTACATTTTATAACTGAGGCTCAAAAAGGTAAGTAATTTTGGTATAATGTTTAGTCTACTACGAATTCTGACTAGTTTGGAGACCTTCACTATACACATGTACACACACACATGTGCACACATATATTTGTGTTTAAAAATTAGAATTTATTTATCGAGCACTTTCTGTATGCCAGGCACTGTGCTCAGTATGTTCCATGCAGAAGCATCTCCTTTAATGTGCACATCAACCTCATGAGGCAGCTTCTTGGCCAAGGTCACACAGCTGTTATGTGGTAGATCTGGGAGGCAAACAGAGGTCCTCACAATACTTTAAAGTAGCTTCCGTCACGCGAAGTTAGGCAGAAACAGTGTATTCCAGTGTCCCATTGCAGGTATAAGTGAGGAATATATAGCACAGCCTGGCCATGGTAATGAAAATGTTTCTGTTTTTCCTTAGGATACATTATCAGAGTTATATTTCTTAAGGCAACCACGGAGTTAGGCCATAATCCTCACTGGTGATTTTAGTATTTTTATATAGTTTCCTTGTGTCTTTCGAATCCTGAGGTTACCAAAGAACTGACAGGTCCTTTTCAGAGCCAAGATGAGGTCAGGATGCCGTGTGCAAGCAAGATAGCTTGTAGTCTCTCCACACCCAAGTGTTTTGGAAAAATATCCAGTAGCAGGTGGGAAAAAAGGGACCAGCCTCACCTCCCACTCCCAGAAAAGTGTTCTTGACCTGGGGTCTGTTGTTGAGGGAGCCTTCTAGGCATATGTGTGCCTGAATGTGTATTTCTACAGAGAAGGTCCTCAGCCTTCATCAGATTCTCAGAAAGGTTCATGGTCCAAAAAGATCATGAACCACTATCCTACAGGTGGGTTATTTATTCCACAGACTTGTCTTTACTACCCTTCCCCCCACCCCGCCCCTCCGTTAGGTGCCGAAGCTTCATGATGAGTAAGACAGGTCCCCACTGTCAAGAAGCTCACAAGGAGATGGACTTGGTTCTGGCTCTGTGCAGTGCAGAGGCTTCCAGGGCAACCGAGTCATTTCTGCAATTACTCGTGGTCATCAGAGCTTTTAGCCCATGAAAGTTGCCATTAAAGTTCTTATCAGTATTTAAAACTCTGAAATAAACATTTTCCAAAATTGAATCAGAAGTGCAACTTTCCAAAAGAATTGATACTAAAATGCTAATCTAAGCAAGAAAACTGTCTTAGGAAAAGAGAACCGTCTAGTGTTGATGTTCCACACACGTTTTGTTAATCAGAGTGAACAGATTTAAATGCTCATGGGCTCTTCTAAAGATTGTTACTTGATTAAAATTAGCAAGCAAACTGACTAAACGGAACGGTCCCTTTATTGAAGAGAAACCAGTTATACCTGTACATAGGAAGGAACTAGCATGTTTCAGAAACTGATAATAAAAGACCCTGCTTTAATAGAAAAGAAGCATATATTAGTATAATGGGATTTAGATGTGGTTAAAATATACACGGGCACATATTTGATTGGATTGGGAAATATTCTGAACCTCCACCACGCACCTAACTAACGCATCATTGTAGCTGTCTCTGTAGCAAGAGTACTCTGTTACTATGTTAAGTGACTTGAGGGTAGGCCCCAGGTCCTAATTACCTTTGCATCTCTGGTTGCTGCCACCTAGTAGGTGTTCACTCAGAAAATGAGTGACTGTGCTATGGAAGCTTTACTGTTTGCCACCTAGTGTCAGAGGGGCCAAGGAGACTAAGGCTACAGCAGAGCCAGGTGGGAAAATAAGAAATGGTATCAAGGTTGTTAGTGTATTTTTTAAAGAATTGATGAGAACCAAAGGATAAACGTAATAAAAAGATTGGGTGGCTAGGATCTGATGCAGTAGAAAGGTTAACACTGGATAATCTGTAATTTGCCAGATGGTAAGACATAATGGAAAATGAAAAATAAATACTCAAGTTTTCAATAGCCATATTTAATGTAAATAGTCTTTTTTTGGTAGGGTATACAAAGTACTTTTCACATAGAGTATTTGAGCCAGAGAGCACTGGACTTGGAGTTACATGATCCATGTATGTGATCCTGGGGAAGGCACAACCTGTCTTTAAAATGGGAATAATACCTCAGTAATTGAGGATTAAATGAAGTAATGATTTTGAATACATTCTGTTAATGGTAGAGTACTAAGTAAGTTATTACTGTTACATCATTTTACATGAGCTTGGGGTGAGAGGGTAGGAGCTAAGAGCCTTTAGTTCTGTTTGTCTCCCCAGTAACCTGATGTATTAAGAATCCTGTGGGACGCTGCACTTTGAAGAGCGAGATGCTAGAGGAGACAGATGGCTTCAGCCCCTTCTAAAGGTCACAGAGGGCTCCTTCCATAAGGTTAGAGTAGAACATGAGTGTAATTTAGACATTCTCAGGAGGGTAAATGACATTAGCTGCGGTCAAGTTGATCCCTGACTCACGGTGACCCATATACAATGGAACAATGCTTCCCGGTACTGCACCATCCCCATGATCATTAGGATAAATTATAAGACAACTCAAATAGTGCCTCCCATTCCATACGGTCTTAGTTATCTAGTGCTGATATAACAAAAATACCACAAGCAAATGGCTTTAACAAACAAACTTATTCTCTCACAGCCTAGGAGGCTAGAAGTCTGTATTCAGGGCTCCAGCTCCCGGGGAAGGCTGTCTCTCACTCTTGGTTTTGGGGGAAGGTCCTTGTCATTTATATTCCCCTGGTCTAGGAGCTTCTTATCACAGGGACCCCAGGTCCAAAGGATGTGCTCCACTCCTGGTGCTTCTGTCTTGGTGGCATGAGCTTCCTCCCTCTCTGCTTGATTCTCTTATATCACAAAAGAGATTGACTCAAAATACAACCTAATCCTGTAGATTTGAGTCCTGAGTAACATAACTGCCTCTAATCCTGTCTCATTAACATCACAGAGGTAGAATTTACAACACAGGAAATTCACATCAGATGACGAAATGGTGGAAAAGTACACAATACTGGGAATCGCGGCCACCATTGGGCCCGTAAACCCCCCTTGCCGTCTAGTCGATTCCGACTCCTAGTGACCCTATAGGACAGAGTAGAACTGCCCCATAGAGTTTCCAAGGCGCGCCTAGGTGGATTCGAACTGCCAACCTTTTGGTTAGCAGCCATAGCACTTAACCACTACGCCACCAGTTTCCCACCATAGGACAGTCCCTCTTAATTGCTTTGTTTCCAGCTGGGAAGGCCTTAATTTGGGGAGAAGGGCAGGGGAGAATGATCAGGCTCTTCATAAGAGGGTTTTTACCAAGGATATAAAAGTCTGTAGTTGTTGCCTAGGGTCCATCCCTCTTCATTGGCCTGACATGCGCTTATCTAAGGGTGAAAGAAGGTGTGTCTCCCAAGGATTTATGACACGGAACCTGCGCATCAACTGAAGGGTGAAAAAGAAAGAGACCGAGATGATGGTTGGCCAAGTCGTTCGCTAACGGTGGTGTTAGCAGCAAGGGTAGAGAAGTAGGTAAAGCGCTGATCTTGGGGATCAGGTCAGCCTGCCCAGCATTTGAACCTCTGCCTTCCTTCTGCAGGTGGGAACACCTGGTAACCCATAGATTGGCCTGTGACCCAGGACACAGCCTTGATAAGCTGATCCCATCAGGTTCCCTATCAGGAATTTGAATAGGAAATCTCGAGAGAGTGAGGCAGTTAGCACCAGCAGCTCAAATACTGTGCCACAAGGTAGAGTTACATCCATGAGGAATTAAAGCAGAGGTCATGAAGAAATGAATTAGGAAGGAAACCTTAGCGGCCATTGATACAGTACTTACTGTGTCAATACATTATTTTACTTCTGAGAGGTGGACATTTTACAGATTAGGAAGCAACTCTGAAATTCACTAACTTGCCCAATGGTCCACAGCTAATACGTGACAAAGGACTGAAACCAACGTCTTTCTGGCTGTAAAGACAATGCTTTTTAAAACTGTATTATACCACTTTTCTAAGCAGAAACTGCAAGGTGGAGAAGAGACAGAGTAACAGAAGCACTGGAGTGTGGGAGAAAAGGCAGATGCAGCAAGAAGCTGCATCTCCAAATGAGAGAGCCCTGGTTCTGCTCCCTAGAGCCCGGCCTCACCAGGGTTCATCCTGAGATGCAGCTTCCATCATCATGACCAGGAATCCTTAAGATAAAGCCCCCAATGGAAACACCTAACCCCATGTGGTAATGATTCTTATAAATTCAGAAGCTCTGTTTTCTGCAAATGTTCAACTAGGGACTTTAGGCACATTCCCTTAGGATAATTTCCTTCAAAAAGTTTGTCTTTAGATATATACCTTATAAACTTCAGCTAAGATAAGGGAGTTTGGGAAATCATGTAGTCTCAATTCTTTACAGGAAATGGCTCAACCCTAAACAGTAAAGAAACATTTCAAATCTATGCTCAACAAATCTCTTCCATATAAATGCAGTGCAGTAGCAGGGCTTAAAGGTAAATGTTGTAATACAGGACAGAATTTCTTAACAAGACTCTTGATGGGACCAGTGGGAAGCTGCAGTAGACCAAGGAGTCACCTGCACTTCAGTTTTAAATCGCAGCAAGAAATCTAACGTTGAAAACAAGGGTGTTTCTCTTCCCACCACCATTCAACCATACTTCAAGGTGGGTTTCAGGAGAACTTAGGAAGTGTAGGTATAAAACTAAAATCTTTTATTGTGATTGATAAAAGACAAGTTAGTAGTTTACTAAAGGTAGCATATTGAACATTTAAAACTATATTTTAGAATCAAACTTAAAAGCTAAATTATTTTACTGGTTATGGATGTTAACAGTAATAAAATTCATGAATGACTAGAAATGGTGTCACTGTCATCATTAACAGAACTAAACCATTCTCCTACTAAATAACACCTAACACAGTGCTTTTATTTTGTACAATATGGAAACCTGCCATGTTATATAACAAACACTTTTCAGAAGTCATTCGCACAAATATTTTGAGAAGCGAGCCCATGTTTTCTAATTTTTATTACCCCTTTGTTATGTCTAGTACAATGCACACAACAGGAGCTCAATTACAGCTTGCTACATGACTTGAGCAGAGAGACTAGTCTCATAATTTAATGATATGTTATTGTTAGCTGCCATAGAGTCAGCCCCTAACTCATGGCAACCCCATGTGTTACGGAGTAGAACTGCTCCATAGGGTTTTCTCGGCTGTAATCTTTACGAAAGGAGCCCTGGTGGCAGCTCCGTGGGAGAAAGACCTGGTGATCTCCTTCAGTAAAAGTTACAGCCCAGAAAACCCTGAGGCAATTCTACTGTCACGTGGGGTTGCTGTGCGTTGGAATCAGCTGGACGGCACCCAACAACAACAATCTTTATAGAAGCAGGGCCATGGGCTGGGTAGGTTAGAACCACCAACCTTTACGTTAGCAGCCGATCACAAAGGAAACACATTAATACCACATGAATTGGTTCAACAAACATTTATTGATGGTCTAGTTTGTGCCAGCCCTGTGCTCAGCACAGGACATGGGAAGATGAAGGGGATGTGCTGTGTGCCTCTCAGCACGCCACCAAATAGTGGTAGTTCCAGCTGGGCACCATGGACCCTGGGGGCCCTGAAAATGATGCAGCTTCTTTGCAGATCCTTGGCAAGGACTGGCTACAGACTTTGGTACACATCTGTACTGCTGTGTCTCAAATGTGTGCTGATGTTATGGTGATTAATATGCACATTTATTTAAAAACAATACTGAATTCATATTAACTATTGGTCACTGTATTTTTCAATCAGAAGATACGGATTAGGAGGGGAGTTTAAACAAAATATACCTTCAGATGGGAACCTCTGATGTGAAAGGTTTAAAGTTCTAAGGAAATAGCCGTAAGAGCCAAGAAAACATTTTGGAAAGAGACTGTTTTAGGGAATCTTCAGAATAATTACCACCTCTAACCTGTACCTAAGGTACAAATATATTTCCCAGATTTGCAAAGGACATAAAATTTTTACTTCTTTTATACAAAGATGAACAATTACAGACCATCGCATTTACGAGTACAAATATTGACCAGAAACTAGGTTTTATTTTTTTCTTTAAGCTCGGGCTTGTCAAATTTTTCTCTCAAAAGCTTAAACCCAAGGGTCAGCATTGACCCCCACAGGGCTGTGAGATGCTCAAGAATTCTTTTATGTCTCCTGCTTTTTTCTCAAAAATTCATTTGAATTTTGCATTCTGTTCCATAATTCACTTATTTTAAACGCAAGGTTCTAAATTATTTAAATGTTTCCTGTAATTTTTTCTAGTAAATCAGTGTTCAAAGAATATAGGGCAAATTAAGAAGCAGGGCCATAGAAGGCGATTCCCACATATACATAAAAAAATACAACTTTGCAGCGGGTGTTTATGATGGACAGAAAACAAGAGCGACATACGGGTGTCTCCCTCTGAGTAAATGGACATAAGATAATCCTTCTAGTGTTAAACTGTAAGACGTATCCAGTGATGGATCAGAAGGAAAACAGTCATGCACAGGTGGAACAGAGCCCAGGCAGGCTCAACTGAAACACAGCTGAAGGTACTGGAATATCTAATGGAGTGGAGAAGCAACTACTGGCAGAGAATCTCTAGCGTCATCCAGGGACGAGGGTACCCTGGTCCACAAGTGTGACTATCAGCAGGCATATCCCCACAGGGAGATGCATGAATGAGGAACTTGCTTCCCTTGCTCAGACTCCATGCTCACCAAGCAACAATCTGATCATAATTTGACTTTCCAAGATGATTTGCCTAAAGGGAGAGAATGATAGTAATATTTCTTATTATTAAAATTAAATACCAATACCATTTTTTCAAACATCAGTTACTGTGAGCTTGGTTAATGTCAGTGAGACATGAGATGGGTCCACTGTCCATGTGCTGACAAATGTGAGCTTGTAGGAGTCCTGATCAGACTCTGGACACATCAAATTTGCTTCAGAGATGCCCCCTCATATGAGTGGCCAATTGGCTTTCCACAGGTAACACTCAACTCTGCTGCATCAGACCTTCTGTGCCACTAGCACATGTGGCTGTTGAGGACTTGAAATACAGGAAGTCCAAACTGAGATGTGCTGTAAGTGTAAAATACATGCTGGATTTCAAAGACTTAGTATCAAAAAAAGAATGTAAAATATCTCAATAATTGTTTTTATATAGACTACATGTTGAAACAATAAAATAATTTGGCTATATTGGAATAAATATTAAAATCTATTCTTTTTTTTTTTTAATATGGCTACTAGAAAATGGAAAATCACTTATGTGGCTTGTATTGTGTTTTCATTGGACAGCATTCTTCTACAGATATAATCCAGTATGTCTGATTTTAAAGTTTGCGCTATTTCCCTCGAATGAATTGGACCTGGGAAGCTGGAGGGAAGGCCCGATGGTACCTTTCTTACACTGATGTCAATCAAATAGAATTAAGTGGACATTTCTTATTACTTGTAAAAGGCCAATGACAGACATAAATATGACGAGTACTTTAGTATTTGCAAGAGGTGCTGATGCGGTAAGCAGTCCCCAACTGTGGTAACAAACGGTTGCAGAGTCAAGAGCCTGGGCTCAAAGCTGACCTCCACCGTGCATTCGCCAGGACTCAGCGAACTACATACCTGGGCTGTGAAGTACACGTAATAGAGCTCCTCAGAGGATGGTGCACGCAGCACTGACTGAGTCAGTATTTGATGAGTGAATGCAAAAGCCAAGAAGCTAAGTCTTCGATTTCCTAGTCATTTAGCATTAAGATTGCCAAAGGATTGAGTTGTAAGGTAAATATCAAAGATAAAATGTGAAAAGATAGGTTTTTATTCATCAAAAGTTAACAGCAACAGGCACATACTAAAATGAGTATGGCAAAGCCTTTTACAAATGGCTTTACACTCAAGCTTCCTCCCAAGAAAATGGCTGTTGCGACAAACTGTAAACATAATTCATAAACAGTCTTTTACAGTAACAAGGGAAATACAAATGAACTAAAAGAAAGCACCAGTTTCTCTTAACACTAGATTACAGTTGTGCTTACTATACATAAAACAGTTTAAAACAAATTACAAAAGTGGAATGTTTTTCAAAATTATGTCCTTAAATTTTGTCCTAAAAAACATCTGTTCGCATCAAAAGGCCCATCAAAGGGTCACGTTTCATCAAAGGGAGGGACAAGAAAACAATGCACTTTTTTCAAATCAAAACAAGAAGTTTGGTCACTTAGCTTTGTGCATAGTTTAAGGCAACTGGAGCGATCTGTTTCAGCTGACCTACCTTCCCCTCCCCCGGGTGTGGCTGCTCACTATGTCACGTTCTAAAATAATAAATAGAAGCTTACATTGCAGATCCTTCCCCACATGGATAAATTAACACATGCACAGTCACACATGCACAGACATGCACGCAAACACGCACCCAGACGTTCACACACAACGTACCTCTCACTCACTGCAGCGAAAGGGACTTTAGTACCCTTGATCGGAAGGACACACTTCCCCATCCCACTTTATTTCCGATTGGCAAATACCCTGAGCTGATTATGGTGTTTTAAACATTCCACCTTTTTCTTGCATGTGCAGGTCAAGTGTACAGTAGTGAAAACAACATGCGATGTCTTCACCGCAGAATCATAATACAGCTGGGACATCGGTGTTCTTCCCCTCCCACCCCAAATGAAAACCTAAGAGTTAAAACTAAATTGCATTGCCAAACAGCACTGGAGTGGAAGCTTGGCAGGACTCTGGGAGAAATGCTCAGTTTCCAGCGCACAAGCGAAAACCATAGCGAAGGGGGGGCTTTGGTGGCATCCAAAGAAGAAAGAAGGCAAACCAGGGGGATGAGAGAGCTGCAGTCTACGGTTTGATCTTTAAAAATGCTAAGTGGTTCCTTCACAATCATGCTCCACGGCAAAGTTAGAACCAGTATTTTCAGAGTTGATTTGTAAACATTGAGTCTTGCCAGAGGCAGCAGAGGCTGGGCACTTCACATTTCTGTTTTCTCAGTGAGAACTTAGTGGAAGGTACAGATACACATTGTTGCATCAGACTGGTTAAATTCCAAGAGATTTCTGCTGAAAGATTCAGTTCAAGTTTCACGGTTTGAAGAATAAATTCTAGTTTGTTTTGAAAAACACGTGGCACGCTGTGATACTTCCATTGTTAGTCCTGGATTCTTTCCTGCTGGGCTTTGCATATTCAAGGTTCTACACAAAAGCCAAATGCATATTGCTATGTGTTCAGGTCTTACAATGAAAAAGTGGGTTCAAATGATCCAACAGAGGAAGTCCTGGAAATAAATAATGCTGGCATCATTCACTTGGAAACCTTGGCAGTCAAGAGTGAGTTCTCTCACCTCAAGACCCATTTCACATTTCTAAAACCCTCCAGGAGGCAGTATGTCCCCCTGATTCTGGGGGTCAAGATGACCGGTTTTCCTGAGGTAATAATTGTGAGTTCAACTCCTCCAAAGCAGCATCGGTGTCCTCGCTGCTAGACTGCGCTCTCTGCATTCCCTTCCAGCTGGCTTTATTCAGCCCCACGTGGCCCAGCATTGTCTGTGAGAGCCTGGTGTTTGAAAACCGGGCCCATTCCGTAAATAATGGCTCCACTAGGTAAGTCATAAAACCTGAAGAAAGGAAAATAATTATTGACATATGTTCTGAAACTTTCTAAAGGATCTATAGTGTTTACCTTCTCAAGTGCTGTTACAGTATTACCTAAATCTTATTCTTCCAAAGATTCTAACACATGTAATTTATATATCTTCTCTGAAGAATCTATTTTTTATTTTTGTTGTCGTTGAGAATGTATACACAGCAGAAAATACACCAATTCAACATCTACATGAACAATTCAGTGACACTGATTACATTCTTTGAGTGGTACAACCATTCTCACCCTCCTTTTCTGAATTGTCCCACCCCCATTAACATAAACTCACTGCCCCCCTAAGATTCCTTTCAAGTTGCTATTGTCAGTCTGATCCTATATAGAGCACAATGCTCAAGGCAAACATTCTTTACTAGTTAAGCTAAACTATTTGTTTGGTTTTATGAAGACTTCAGGGGATATTTTTGGTTTAAGGTTTAAAGATTATCTCAGGGCAATAGTTTCAGAGGTTCATCTAGCCTCCATGGCTCCAGAAAGGCTAGAGTCTATGAGAATAAAAATTCTGTTCTACATTTTCCCCCTTTTGATCAGGATTCTTCTTCAGAATCTTTGATCAAAACGTTCAGTAATGGTAGCTGGGCACCATCCAGTTCTTCTGGTCTCATGGCAAAGGAGGCAGTCGTTCATGGAGGCAATTAGCCACACATCCATTTCTTCCTCCTATTCCTGACTCTCCTTCTTCTTCTGTTGCTCCAGTGAAAAGAAACCAATTGTTGTATCTTGGATAGCTGCTTGCAAGCCTTTAAGATCCCAGGTGCTATGCAACAAACTAGGAGATAGAACAGAAGCACTAAACACAATATTAGGCCAGTTAACTGGGATGTCCCATGAAACCATGACCGTAGACCCCAAACCAAGAAACTAAACCCCATGAGGTGTTTGGTTGTACATAAGCAGCCACGGCAGCTGCCCTTTTTTGTTGTAAATATATCACACAACTTTTGCCAATTCAGCTTTTTACAGGTATACAACTTAGTGACAGCAATTACATTAATCAGCTGTGCAACCCTACCCTTAATCATTGTGATTTTTTTCATCACCTTAAACTGAAATTCAGTGCTTAATGGAACTGTAGGTGAAGGTGAACTGACAAGTCTATCAAATCCTTCCTGATTATTCCTCTCAGCTACACAGCCACATCCTTCTACTTCAGCAAACAGCAGTGGCATATCAACTCTCTAAGGAGACCAGGGCAGCACATGGCTCACGGATGCTCCACTGAGACAACTGGAGACTAAGACAAGGTCTCCTCAGGAGAGCAGGAGGAGGTGAGGAGGGCCTGAACCGGCATGAGCAGGAGGAGGTTGATTGCTTTATTCCCTCAGTGATGATAATCTTCACACCTGGTCTTGATTACAATTGATCATTTTATTTAACTCAATCTCTAAGACCAATATTTACAACAAGAATTAATGAGTCTAAAAAGAACAGGGGAGATTAAAAAAAATATTAAAGTGAACCTCAGGCCCTAATTTATAAATAACACTTAAAATAATTGATTTCCCTTAATTCACAGCCTGAAATTATTTCTATGGCTCTGAATTAAGGGAGATCAATCATTTTAAGGGTTATTTCGCATCTTTAGGTTATACAGCACTCAACTGCACACTATTTATATCTGCTTTAATACCAGAGTATCTGATACAGGGTTAAAAGAAGGCTCCTAGAAAATAGCTTATCGATCAAACCATATTATATATTAGGAGAAACAAATAATATTATCATCCTAAAGTGTTGATCTGCTAGGGACAAGGTAATGTACATTCAAATTCTAGCACTGCTTGTATAACAGTTTTCAAATTATTTCCATTCTAAAGATTTTTTTCTTTGCAGCAAAAAGACCATGTGGACCACAGACATTGGTTCCATTTAGCCAACACAAAAATCTCACTGGAATTAATACAATTAAAACCTGTTACAAGCTGCCGAGTTGATTCTGACTCACAGTAACCCTATAGGACAGAGTAGAACTGCCCCATAAGGTTTCCAAGGAGCAGCTGGTGGATTCGAACTGCCGACCTTTTGGTTAGCAGCTGAGTTATTAAATACTGTGCCACCAGGGCCCCTAATTAGCACCTACTACTTTTAATTAGAAAAGTCACATATGGTCTGATGGTTGAATTTTTTTTAAGAGTAATAATGGTATCTGAAAGAGTAGTCATGATTATCTAAGCCTTTTGTTCATTCATTCATCCATCCACTGCACACATATTTGCTGTCCTTGCATTCCTGGGGATACAGTAGTGAATAAGACAAGATCCCTGTCCTTAAGAAGCTTACAATCTGGTGAGGAGAAAGAGATAACAAATACAGGTGTTTCCTTATTGCACTCAAAGAACACATCAACTTTCTGGCAGCCATCGCCACTGTCTCATGTTGAGCTGCCCACCCAAACCCCCATCTTACCTATGTGCCAGAGTTAAGTCATGCACAGCTGGAGTTTTGTACTCAAATGCAGACCCTTATTATTATAGGTTTCACATGATTCATCGTATTTGATTCCTCCCATTGTTGCAACTGGTTGAAATCTTTTGGGATCCTGCCTCTAACATCCAACAAATTAGCTATCCCTTCCGGCTCCATGTTAACCTAAACTTTCTTTTAGGTCTTTAAGTACCTGACCAAAATGAGTAAGTCAGGGCCATGGACACAGCCATACGACCCCCTCTAGGACAGCAAGACTCTATTATAATCAGTACCTCTGAGCACAGCTGTTCAACCACTGGTTACTCCACGTAACTGTACAACCCCACATGCCTGTCTTCACAGATATCACAGGACACCTTGCCAAATGCCTTACTCTTCTCTACTACATTATATTTTCTCGTTCAACAAAACCAGTATTCCTACCAAAAAAACGGAATTGTATTAATCAAGTGTGACTTTAATTACTGAACCTATGCTGGCACCTAGTAATCCCTGCTTAGTGTAGTGGTTAAGAGCCTGCGATTTGATGTCAGAAAGACCTGGATTTGAAGCCAATACCAACACCTATCAACTAGATAAACTGGGCAGACTACTTTATCTGAAAAAGAGGATACTCACAGTAATTGCCTCATAGGGCTGTTGTGAAAAGTCAGTAGATGTCAACTATTATCCCCATTATTAATCCCTGTCCCTATGATAATCCATTATAGATCTGTGTTCAACACTGATGTCAAGAACTATAAAATGATTAGTCTGAGGCATACAGCTTCTTTTCACTTTTAAAAATTCAATTAGAGTTGTTCACTGTCCACTTTATGGTACCTTCAGTTTTGCAATTCTTTAAAGGCCACCAAAAGAGGTTCTCTGACCTCATTTGCAAGTTCTCTCAGTAGAGTAATCTGCTCAGGTGAAGAGGCATTTATTTAAAGTAGTTAGTGTGAGTTAACTACCCATTCACCTATCTTCAATTCCTTTTTGCCAGTATTTCATCTATGAATTTGCATTTGAAGATTATTCTATTTAAGAATCAAAACAGAAGCAGATGGACTTCTTGTTTTATTATCCTCCAAAACAGGAATACGTCTCTTCTGCTGCCCTCAGCAGAAGGTCTTCACGCTCTTCGACACTGGGCCTCTCTGGCACCATCCAACAGTCTTTGCCACACTCTTCTGAGCTCTTTGCTGCATTCTCTGAACCTGTCCCTCTGTAATCCAGTCAGTTACCACCCACTTGATTCTAAACAAGGATCCTTTGCATTCCAATATAGAATTACCCACATTTCTGAATTTCTGACCCTATAGGACTGTCCTCCTTTCAGAGTATTATGCCATAGTATCTTCTGAATTTCTGGGAACTTTATCTTTCTCAAGTTTGTGTACACATTTCACTACATCAACCCAATCCTCCAAGGCCCTACTCAATACCAGCTACCAATATTACACTCCTTTCTCAACGCATTGCTGAGTTCCTGCCCCTCTATCATCCCCAAACACCCAATCCTCGTCAGTCCTTCCCATGCTCGTCTACGGCAAGCTGCATGGGCTCCATCACAACATGTCTCATTTTACTTTCTGTTACACTTATTAATTCACTCAACAACTAGTTCTCAAGTGCTTGCTAGGTTCTAGGTGCAGTGCTAGGCTTGAGGAGTACACAGACAAGGGCAAGGTGATGCGCTTGGAACGCTGAGAGATTCGTATCAAGTGCTGTGGAAGCCTGGAAGAGGAGTGACTAACTGCCTGGAGAGAGTGGGCAGAGGCTTCTGGAGTGGAGGAGGTGACATCTCAACTGGGTCTTCAAGAAAAGGAGTCCACTGGGCAGAAGGGAAGGACTGACAGGGCACAGAGTGAAGGAGCAACACGCATCTGGGGAAGAGTCCCAAGTCGCTGTAGGTAAATGATGGGGAAGCTGTGGACAGAGAGAAGACTAAAGAGAAGTCACAGCTTCTCTTCCCAGAGGCCTGTGTAATAGGATGAAGAGTTTAGATTTAATCTAAGAGACAGCGATAAAAGCTCTTGTCAGAAAAGTTAAGTAGCAGTGGAAACTGTCTTTCCATCACAATCAGGCATGGTGGGTCACCCTTTTCAATTTAAAATGGCAATCTCAGAATGATGCAAAAGAAACTTCCACCTAGGCAAGTAATGTATTCTTTCAGTTACAGAGCAGGAACAAAGTTACTGCTGCCTGCTCTGCGAAATTATATTTTTTATGACTTGAGATCAAAAAAGAATATAAGTGCTATAGCAAAGAAAGACATAAGTAAAATTTCTGAAATAATTTTAAAAAAGAGAAATGAACATAATTTTAACAGTGTATATTTTATATGTATTTCTCTTCATGACACAATTAAAATCAGTGGTACTTTTCTAACCGGCTGTATCTAAATATGTATAGTTACCAATCTGGATGTTGGCAATGGATTCGGACTGACGATCACAAAATGGACTCACACTCAAATGATACTTTTTTTCTATATCTCCTATAAATTAAAAAAAAAAAAAAAACAGAATTATTAATATGAATATATCCATTGGTTAAATATATAATTAAAGTCTTCATCTTAACTGAAATTCCTTAGGAAGAACATCACATACTATTAATCCTCACGAGACGATGAATGGCTTCTAAATTAGTTATTTAATTTTAAGTTATTCATACTCAGAAAGGGCTGTGAAGCTGATATCCTATTTTAATTGAAGTCGGTGGAAAACTTTCACTAGGTGTTACCCTAAGATTGTTATCTGTCATCATTTTAATTTCTAAAAGGAAGGTGGTTCCTGGCTCTGAGTCACAAAAACGTCTTACATGTTCACATGGCCATGCCCTCCACAACACAAGGATGAAGCAGGTGAGGCACTGGTCAGTGAGGTAGAGAGACTTTTCTGTACCTCTACAGTAAGATTCAAGGAGCCCTGGTAGTGCAATGGTTAAGTGCTCGGCTGCAAGCCAAAAGATTGGCAGTTCAAAGCTGCCAGTGGTTCTGTAAGAGAAAAGACCTGGTGATCTGCTCCTGTAGAGACTGCAGCCTAGGAAATCCTATGGGGCAGTTCTACTCTGTCATATAGGGTCACTATGAGTTGGAACTGACTCACCGCACACAACAACAACACAGTAAGATTCCAGCCTGAGCTACGTATATTCTTAAATGCACACCAAATTATATCTGCTTGATAATACCACACAGCCAAGCACAAGGACAGTTCTAGATCAACCATAAAGCTACAAATAAATTAACCAATTCTCTCTCCCATGTTTTAGATGCGAGAACTAGTTAGAATGAAATGCTGTTTTTTGGATCACTCCAAAAGAGGGCCACTAATTTTCAAAACAGACGTTCAATTTAGATATTATTGATTACATGTGCATCTACGGTACATTATTACTAAAAATATGAAGCATCTACTGCTAGACTCCTATAAATGGCTGAGTTCTTTATTTTATTCACTGATGCTAAAAACTGGACTGAATAATTCTCACTCAGTACTGTGACTTGCCTTGATGAAAGAATTCTTCTGTTACTTTTTCACTCCACTGTTTGCTTAGTTCCCAGGTCCGACATGGGTTACAAATATCAGCACATTTCAAAGCCATCTAGCAAACAAAATATTCAAAATTGTTTTTTGAATAAAGGTAAATCTCAATTGTACTAAATTTAAATATACGCTCTCTAATAGTGGGAAAAGAGTACTTTAAAAAAAGATGGCAACAGAAAATTTCTTATCTTTTGTATTAATTTTATGATGTTACCATCAATAGTTTTTGCAGAGAAGCTGAGGAAGGAACCATAAGACTGCTAACTGAATTATACCTGCTCGATAATACCACACAGCCAAGCACAAGGACAGTTCTAGATCAACCGTAAAGCCACAAATAAATTAACCAATTCTCTCTCCCATGTTTTAGATGTGAAAACTAGTTAGAATGAAATGCTGTTTTTTGATTGGTACCCTATCTTGCAAAAGATGTTTTCATCAGAAATCTCCAGTCTGTAAAATACGAAAGCAATGTCCCTTCTTAGAGCACAGATTTGCCAGTGAGCCCCTACGGGGAAGTGTGTACATAAACTGAAGGAACTTCCTCAGCTTCCTCTCAGGGTTTAACCAACTCTGAAAAACTACTCTGCAAGAATATTTCATTTTTATCCAAACAGTCAGGTGCTTTACCCTAGAAGTGGCATATTTCCAAGCCCTATTTTACCTGTAAAACTAAATGCCGATGACTAGCATCTTCTAGACATAAGTCCCCTCTATCCAAATGAGATCTAAACAATGACAGATACTCATTTTGGCGACTGATATCTGTGGCAAGTATCAAAGCACCTATCTGAGTCTCCATTTCTTGCCTGGAATTAGAAAAATATAAAGAGAAAATATAAGACTTTTAATTAAATAGTTAATCCTTGATTTTTTTCTCTTAAACTTTATACTTGGAAAGCTTTATAGAGCCCTAAGGTATTCTAATTACCATTCAACTTTTAATCTATCACAAAAAATAATGCTGAGTGAAATAAGTCAATCACAAAAGGACAAATATTGTATGAGACCACTATTATAAAAACCCAAGAAAATGTTTACACACAGAAAAGAACAGTCTTTGATGGTTACAAGGGAGGGGAGGAATAGGGAGGTGAAATCACTAACGAGGTAAGTGTCAACTTTAGTGAAGGGAAAGACAATGCACAATATAGGGGAAGTCAGCACAGCTTGACCAAGGCAAAGTCTCAGAAGCTTCCTAGACACAGCCAAACACCTTGACGGACCGAGTTATGCGGCTGAGAGCTGGGGACCATGGTCTCGGGGGACATCTAGGTCAATTAGCATAACAGTTCATAAAGAAAATGTTGTACATCCTACTTTGGTGAGTAGTGTCTGGGGTCTTAAAAGCTTGCGAGCAGCCATCTAATACTCGTATTGGTCCCACCATGTCCGGAGTAAAGGAGAATGGAAAACACCAAAGACACGAGGAAAAAAGTAGCCTAAAGGACTAATGCACCACATGAACCGCAGCCTCCACCAGCCTGAGCCCAGAAGAATTAGATGGTGCCTGGCTACCACCACCAAAGGCTCTGACAGTGATCACAATAGAGGGCCCTGGACAGAGCAGGAGAAAAATACAGAACAAAATTCAAATTCACAAAAAAAGACCAGATTTACTGGTCTGACAGAGACTGAAGGAACCCCTGAGACTATGGCCCCAGATACCCTACTACCTCATAACTGAAGCCACTCCCAAAGTCAACCTTTCAGCCAAAGATTAGATAGGCCTATAAAACAACACACGAGAGGAACGTGCTTCTTACTTCAATCAAGTACACAAGGCCAAATGAGCAACACTTGCACAAAAGCAAAGACGAGAAGGCAGGAAGGGACAGGAAAACTGGGCAAATGGACATGGAGAACCCAGGTGGAAAGGGAAAGGGAGAGAGTGCTGACGCACTGTGGGGATTATAACCAATGTCACAAAACAACTTATGTATTAATTGTTGAATGAGAAACTGATTTGCACTGTAGACTTTCACCTAAAACCCAATACAATTTAAAAATAAAGAATTTTAAAGATTGTATAAAGGAAAAAAAAGCTATTTAAATAATAAAAACTAAAACCAAGACAGTCTGTAGGAAAATGCCAATATGTAAACATTCCAAAAAGAACACCTTTATTCTGCCAGCCAAGGTGGAATTATTTGCTTTTGTAAAAAGAGCTAACAGATACATGAGGAAATGCTCACGATCACTAGCCATTAGATAAACGCAAATCAAAACCACAATGAGATACCATCTAGCCCTGACATTACTGGCATGAATCAAGAAAATAACAAATGTTGGAGAGACTGCAGGGAGACTGGAACTCTTATGCACTGCTGGTGGGAATACAAAATGGTACAACGATTTTGGAAAACAATATAGAGCTTCCTTAAAAAGTTAGAAATGGAAATACCATATGATCCAGCAATCCCACTCCTAGGAATATATTCTAGAGAAATAAGAGCCGTCACACGAATAGACATACGCACACCCATATTCATTGTAGCATTGTTCACGATAGCAAAAAGATGGAAACAACCTAGGTGCTCATCAACAGATGAATGGATAAACAAACTATGGTACATACACACAGTGGAGTATTATGCAACAATAAAGAACAATGATGAATCTTTGAAGCATCTCACAACATGGATGAATCTGGAGGACATTATGCTGAGTGAAATAAGTCAATCACGAAAGGACAAATATTGTATGAGACCTCTATTGTAAAAACCCATGAAAAGGTTTACACATAAAAAGAAGCAATATTTGATGGTTACGAGGGAGGGAAGGAGTGGGAGGGAAAAACACTAAATAGTAGATAAGTTGTAACTTTGGTGAAGGGTAAGACAGTACAAAATACAGGGGAAGCAGCACAACTTGTCCAAGGCAAGGTCATGGACACTTCATAGACACATCCAAACTCCCTGAAGGACCAAATTACTGGGCTGAGGGCTGTGGGGACCATGGTCTCGGGGAACATCTAGCTCAATTAGCATAACATATTTCCAGACTGAGTCCAGCACAACTAGATGCTGCCTGGCTACCACCACCAACTGTTCTGACAGGGATCACAATAGGAGGGTCCCAGACAGAGCTGAAGAAAAATATAGAACAAAATTCTAACACACACACACACACACACACACACACAAACACACACACGAAGATCAGACTTACTGGTCTGACAGAGACTGGAGAAACCCTTAGAGTAAGGCCCCTGGACACCCTTATAGCTCATTAATGAAGTCACTCCTGAGGTTCCCCCTTCAGCCAAAGATTAGACAGGCCCATAAAACAAAATGAGACTAAATGGGCACACTAGACCAGGTGCAAGGACAAGAAGACGGGAGGGGACAGGAAAGCTGGTAATGGGGAACCCAAGGGCGAGAAGCGGAGAGTGCTGACATGTCGTGGGGTTGGCAACCAATGTCACAAAACAGTATGTGTATTAATTGTTTAATGAGAAACTTGTTTGATCTGTAAACCTTCATCTAAAGTATAATAGAAAAAAATTAAAAAAAAAGAAATATTTACTAGCTTTCTAATACCTAATAAGATACATATGTTTTAATATAGTACTTTATACATCCAGTAAAAACAACAACAAAAAAGCCAGTAAAAGATTGGTATTTTGTCTGAGGAAATTCTCTGCTGGGATATGTTGAGAGTAAAAGACTTTGGTTTCTTTTTCAGTGCCTAAGTTCTGAAATGCAGAAGGAAAATTCAAATGGAAAGAGTAACAGCCATTCAATAACTGACTCCTGTAGACATTTTAACTAAAATGCCTGATTAAATCCTGAGGAAACCCCACTAAACAATATTTTTAAAGTTTAGATTCAACTACATTTTCAGAATCAAATTCAAGAATAAACCAATTATTTGTATATAGATATACAAACTGTCTGGAAGGGAAAAGGTAATTGTTAATACAAATATGAAATACATTATATCATGTTAAAAACTGCCTCAATGCAAATAACAAAAGAAATACACTTTTTAAAATAATTCCTGCCTTTTTTCTTTTTTTTTTATACACTGGGCCATGACAGACATTATCTTTGCATAAATCTTTGCATAATAATCAGTGAAGAATTGATCAAGATGTTATTAATAAAGCTCACAATACTGAATATTAAATGAACCCTAAATGAAGAAAGTACAAAAGAATGCTATGAAGTAGTGTTCCTCATTTTCAGTTTTTATTGCTTAAAAATCTGAGAATTCAACAGGGTTAATCATCAAATACAAAACATAGTGAAAAGGGAATATAATGAAGCAAACATTTCAATCTGTCTTAATCAAGAAAAAGATAATTTATATATATAAACACTGTATGCTTTACACAATTGTTAAATTTGTACTACAGCAAGAAATAATCTCACTTACCAGAAGTACCATCCTACTGTCATAACTCCAAATGGTATCCACGAATAAAGATTTAAAAAAATAAAAAATAAAAGTCCAGCTTTTTCTTATGGTCATTACACAGAGCACTTAGTTTTTTATAGTTATTTTAAATTAAGAGGGGAAAAAGGAAAGAAGAACAAAGACAGTAATTTAATTGTTGAGACTCAAACGTATTTTTATGCCTCACAATTTTTGCAGACCTAGATGGTTTACATGATCTCCGTAAGGGCACCTTCTGTCAATGAGACAAGGTTAAAAGCCTGTGTGTGAACCACACTATAGCAACAGTGGGAGATTTTTGTTATCCACCAACCATCATATGGGGCTCATTTACATTAATGCTTTTTATTAAGCTCTTAAACTGACCTGCTTAACATTATTTTTTCTAAAATATTAGTATTTTCTGTTGTTGTTTCCACTCATTAATTTATCCTACCGGTTCAGAAGTGATTCTAGCACTATGCTATTTAGGAAATGAAATAAAGCATTTTCTTTACTTTCTTATTAGTCTGAAAACTTCATGAAACAGATTTTTAATGACTCTATTTATTATACAAAATGTTTACTTTCTATCCAATCTACATTTACATCTAGACCTCAAGTTCTTTTCAGCTGAGTGTAATATGGAAGTATGCAGTACCTGTTTATGTAAACGATCGTCAACTGTGACCAAGCCAGGTATATGTGAATTGAATTTTACTGTACTCAAATCCATGGAATGGCCTTTCATGAAAATAAATATTCACTATAATATTACTGACTGTACTTTAGAACAGGTTTAAATTACTAAAATTTTGATATAATTTTTAAAAAATATGATAATTTATCCATTAAATTTAACAAAAACTGAAAACTGCAGAACACCCGAATACAGTAACATAATCTTTTAAACTTTTTAAAAACTGTTACGCCAACTTTTTGTTTCCATAGTTCATACCAAATTAAGTTTGCTGCAGTCCACCTACCTGTCTTCTAGTGGCATATGTGAGAACAAGCCAGATTCTCTCAGCAGCCCGACTGCTGACCTCCAGTGGTGGTTTTCCAGGACTGAGGTATTCTACAAGTAAAGGTGCATTTCTGAGTGAGGTAGTGGTAGGTCTCTTTCTGAACATACAGAATTACTTGTTAGTAATACTCATCTGGTTAAAATGCTAATGTGCATTGAGAATTTATGTTCACTACTTTCACGTCTTCAAAACATGAAACATTTTCTAGAATGCAAAAATAGTAAATGTTAACAATAAAATTTCACTAACCTTGTATAAAGTTGCCAAGTAATGGTTAGTTTTAATAAGGAAAGGTTGATTAACACCTGGGTGATCCAGATCATGAGTGGCAGCTGCAATTAAGCTCAGCAAGATATCCCAAGGAGTTACAGAATTGGCAAGCTAAAAAATGACAAAAGAACAATTAATCACAAGATATATTTGAAGTAAACGCAGCAGGCTCTTAGTTTTTCAGGAACATTGTTGCCAATGCCACCTCGAACTGCCAGGTGCTGGCCTCGTCACAACACTGGGGACAAGAGAGACACTACAGCAGTGTCCCTGTCCTCGTGGAACCTACAGAGCTCCTCATCATACTGTTTCATTTTTAATAAGCTTAATGAAGATAGCAGCTAAAGTAGAGACCATCCTTTTTAAAAAACAATGGCTTTGAAATGATAGTTTTTGTTTCAAAACTAAACAACACAGGGTCGCTTATATTTCTATTATTGTAGCTGTTACAGTATACAAACCTATAACTTTGAGACCTTTACAATTTGTTTCATCAGCAAATTTGTTATTGGCACTCAATAATGTAATCTAAAATGTGAGATAATTACTGTAGTCCCAGTGTTTAGGGAAGCTATTGAGTAATCACGTGAGTGACAGTCTACATCAAGTCTAATGAAATCCTCTGGATGAATGGACATGTTCACAACAAGTGCACACTACATGTTCATATCAGAAAACGCAATCTTGTAAGCTAGCAATTACAATTTTACTCTCAATAGTCATTACTAAGCTTATCTGATACCATAAACACAATAAACAAATCTTATTTCTGACTAAAATTTTTCAATAATTACCTTGAGTCAAACTCCTCTGATTCCATTTGACTCTACTGAAGCCCCAGCCCCTGCCTCCAGCCCTGTCCCCAGGCAAATGACTTACTTGTGTTCTACAGCATTTACAAGCCTTGCCATGATAACAGTCTTTAGACGTTATCTTTATTTAGGTTTACGTTAAGGCAACTGCTTTCTAAACTTTCATGATCATGAACCCTATCAGTAAACATTTTGAGCATGTATCACCAATTGGTGTATGTTTATTTTTAGATTATGCTACTTCTGTGCCAGGATCAATGATCTTTTTCCATCCCAAGGGTAGGTTCAGGAGTCCCTGGGGTGGCACAGACGGCTAAACGCTCAGCTACTATCTGAAGGTTGGCGGTTTGAATTCACTTTGTGGTGCCACGGAAGAAAGGTCTGGTGATCTACTTCTGACAGATCACGGCCATTGAAAACCCTGTGGAACACGGTTCTCCTTGGACACATATGGGGGGCTCCATGAGTTGGAATCTACTCGATGGCAACTGGTTTACTGGTTTTCAGGTTGGGTTCACCCCAATCAGAAAAATCACTCTCTGAGGGTTTGAAACCTCTGCAAAACTCTGAACTTTCTGAAGGCAGAGCATGTGTATTATTTATGTTTTTATTACCTACATTTGGTACATGGAGAAGCACAATAAATGGGAAGAAAATGGTGAATAAAATTATTTCGTCTTCAGAATTAGACTTACTAAAAAACCTGATGCATGACAACATGAAATCTCAAACCATCTCATGTAGATTAAAAAATTAACCACTAAAAAGCAGAAAAGTGAGAAGTAACTGAATGTTTAAAAGTTCTTGAAGGGAAAGAAGGTGGTACATTTGAAAGCAAAGAAATCATACGTGCAACCCACCCCACCTCCCCAAAAAAAATGTGATTGTGTAAAATGTAACATTTCTTCTTGAAACTGTAATCAGAAAGAAAACTTTATGAGTATCAGAACAAACTACCAGGAATTCAATGGCATTGATACAACTTTTAAACTGGATTTAAAAAAGGCAGTTGTTTTAATTCTCATGATTACATCTGGTAATACCTTGCAATACAGAAAAGTCATGTGAAGTGAGGAAGAAATTTCAAATCATTAAATATATAGAAAAGTCAGATTTCACTTGGGCCTGCAAAGCTATCACAATGCTCCTTTTTCAGTAAAACAAAATCAGTAAGTGGTAAGTTTTCCTGAGTTTAATGAAAAATCTCACTGTTTACATTGTTTACTAGCATTATGCTGATTTTCCACTGTAATGATTATTGTTGTTAAAATAAAATACTCACAGTAAATAAAAGTTTATTATTAAACGTTGTTGTGTACCATCGAGTCGAGAGAACAGAGTAGAACTGCCCCATATGGTTTCCTAGGCTGTAACTGTTATGGGAGCAGATCGCCAGGCCTTTTCTCCCATGGAGCTGCTGGTGGGTTCAAACCACTGACCTTTTGATTAGCAGCTGAGCACTTAACCATTGCGCCATCAGGGCTCCTTGTAAAAGTTATTACAAATGTCTAATTCATTTAATAGAAGACTTCAATCAAGGCAAAGTATTTGAAAGTAAACAGAAGGGCATCTTCTTAGGATTTTCACCAGAAGTACATGTCAACCACTCACCTTGGGTTCTTTTAAGTAACAGTGCATGGCCTGGGTAACATCTGCAGCGTGGACTGCATTGTGGTAAGGATTCTGACTGTGGTAATCTTCTTGAATCATAACTGCATCAAAGGAAAAAGATCCCCAATTTAATTGTAAATGGCGGACATGTGCAAATACGAAATTGTGATGATTATGAGTTATCGACTTACACTTTTCCTGTAGATAATATAAGCTGAAATTGTTCAGACTCAGAGAGGTGGTAACCACCTCATAACTTACATGCACATCCAAAGAATTAACACCAATTTGACTTTGAACCTAGGAATGTTTTCATGTCAAAATTTTGAAATAAATACTTCTTTTTTTTGTTTTTCCTTTTCTTAAATGTGAGTCTATCACAGTGCCAAACTCCTTCGACTCTTTTTAATTGAAAGAGAGTTTCTCGATTTAATAAAAGCAGTACAATTCATCCAACAAATATTTATGCCAGGCACTGTTCTAGGTGCTAGAAATTTGGCAGTGAACAAAAGCTAGCTAGCAAAAACCTTTATAAAGCTAACATATTACAGATACTGAGGTACATAAAAAAACAATCCTATTGGTGCACCATCAGTTAGTTAAGGCTTGATCTGGAATTTATTTTTCAGTAGTAGGGATGGGTTTTCTGTTAATCCCACCCTCTCTTGCTCAGTTTCCTTTATGTCACTGTGAGAAAGCAGAGTGCAATTAGGGGTGTGAGCTGTCTCCATAACAGCAAGGAACTAGCTGCCATCAAGCCTGCATACAGGCTGAGCAGCCTAACACTCAAATCCAGTGGTCTCCAAGCAGAGGGAGCCCACCCTAATGTGGCTGAAATACCCCTAACTGGTGAGTGGGGATACACTATTAGAATTCTGTACCTACTTTTATCCCATCCTTTAAACAGCCTTTTCAATATCCTTGTTAATATCTATTTTTATATGTGTTTTATAATATATACATTAGTACAGTAATATAGGCATATAATTTATAAATCAATATACATTTCAAAGTTTTTCAAAAGTACTGAGTAATAAATTTATCTTAGTTTGGTACTTAAGTGGGATAAAAATATTACTTTCTGCAAAAAATGGTAAGAAAGAATCCTCATGCTACTAATTTTTTTCTAAGGTATTTTCTTACTTGGTGAAACACTGTAACTTTTTCTTACCGGTATAATGTAAGTATCATCCTGCGTATTTAAACATATTCTGTCATGAAAGTTTCAAAATTTATCCTTCAAAATAATCTTTAAAATCTAATGTCAAGGGATTTCAGGGATCAGAGGAGAGGAGAGACCTAAGGGCAGTGTCCTTTCAAAGTTTCAGCCTTCAAAAATGCAGGAAAGTATAGAAAACACATCACCTTTGTCACCAGCTACAATCAATGTAAGAGACTGATGGGGAAATCATCCCAGTTCTCTGCCATTCCCAGTATCCACGGCCTTTGTGATTTTGCAGCTCGTCATCAGGAGGTAGCGTCCTCCCCCACGTGACCTGCTTTGACCACAGAAGGTGATGGGAGCGAGGGTGGCCAGCCTGAGCTGGAGTCTCAACAGGCTGAACTCGTCTGCTCTCTTGGAAATGGACCACTGCCAGTGGAGCCAGCTCAGCTTGTTGTAAAATGAATAAACGCTTCTTTCTTTTTTGTTTTTAATGTGAATCTATTATAGTGCCAAACTCCTCTGTCTCTTTTTAATTGAGTTTAATAAGAGACCACGTAGCGCAAAGCCAAGTCAGGCCAGTTGTCCCTGCCGAGGCCCCAGTCCTGACCTGAAAGCTGAGGTGAAGCTCACTTGCTGGCTGGTTGCAGATGCGGACATGAGCCCAGCCAAGGCCAGAAGCAGCACTCAGCTGACCAAAGACTCAGGAGCTCAACAAATGCTTGATATTTAAAGTCACTAGATTTGGGGCAGGTTTGTTATACAGCAATAGCTAACTGATACAACTGATAAAATATTTAAACAAGCTCTTATATAAAATCTTGTTACTGTTAAATGGGTTAGAATCACTTACCTAAAAATCTACGAAGTTTCATCATATCTAAATGGAAGTACTCAATTAATCCATGAAGACTAAATAAATGAAAGGTTAAACTTACTAGACTATTCCCTAAAAAGAAAGGAGAGATATTACATTAGTAGGAAAAACAAGCTAATGTGGCTGCACTGTACTCCCAGATATGGACTGTGACTATAAAACATGGAGGCGAGCTAACTCCTACTTTGTGCCTGTCTAAAATTTGTATCTTCTTGTTTCACCAGTTATGAACATTAAACATAACAGCTTTCTTCCATTCTAACAAATTATTTTTTGTTATTTCAGTTATCCACAAGAATTGGAAGATAAGTATTTTCAAATAACAAATAACAGTAACAAAAATAGTGTACTCTCTATTCCCCCACACATCTAAGCTTCCTCAAAGAGCTCACGCAATGGGGGTCGTCTTCCTCCTCAAATTCCACTCGTCTGTCAATGACGACTGGAGTCACAGAAAGTCCAGAAATTAAATTTGGAAAAAAAACTACCATTTTTGTACTGCTTGGTTTTCCCTTCCACGGTACAACTCTCCGTTTTTTAAACCTCCTATTACAGTTCTCAAAGTAGAAACTGTGGACACATATGCTTATCAACATACATCCTACAGGACATGTAATACTATATTATTTTGACAATTAAACAGACCATGTATTTTAAAGGGGTATGATCTCATAAATTACTGCCAGCATTTGGATAATATCATCAACATGATTCTAGTTTTCTCTCAAGAAGTCTATGCATCTTACTAAAATGTATAAAGGATTTAACTAGTCCCATGATGAAATTTATAGTAACAATATGTACAGAGGATAATAAAAGACTATTTGGCTGAACTTTTTATCCAAAACTGCCTAAAATAATTCTTCACAGAAGCCCATGGCTGAGGATAAAGTAAATTAATTGGAACAATACTTGCATGAGTAATGTTGAAAAGGATGTGGCGGGCCAAAAGAGATTCTTTAAAAAACCTACCTAACATATCTCTTCCAAACGGGAAGAAAAACAATTTTAAGAATATTTTATGTTTAAGAGATTAAGTGGTAAAATACATTCAGGTACTGATAACACTAATACTCTCCTGGTGCAAACGGAAGACCACGTGGTCTGGACATATTTGTGAGGAGGTAAGCTGTTTTTCTCTTATTACTGCTGTACCAGCCTACTTTTCTTCGGATATAGACAGAAATTTCAGAATGTATATTCATTCTGTGTATTAAAGTTATCATAGAGTTCTTCTGAAATCATTTTTTTCAAACCTAGGTAAACAAATTACCAACTTCTAGGGTCTGAAAGAAGTTTCAAGAAAGCTAGAATCTAACGGGGAAAATGCCCTCTCCTGGGGATCCAGACAAACTGCAGGAAGCGTCTTGCATTAAGTAATACTCCCATCCAGAACTGTAAAGCAAATCTAATTAAGAGTGTACTATCTGTCTCAAACGGAGAAACTGCATGCGACGTAGTTTCCCTTTTCAAGTTACAAGGTACCAACTGAATATTTTAGAATCAGTGAATAAGAATATGTAGAGCATAATACACCTCACCTTTCACACAAATCAAGAAACATTTCCAAACAAGTAATACTTGTTAAACAAGCACAGAACTGACTTTTTTATGGAAATAGAAATAAACATTTCTTAGAAAAGAAAACTGTATTTACAGAAAAGCTACCCTCATAAAACTATATCAAAGGATAGAACTGCCTGTGATATAGCACCCTCGATAGTTTTTAGAAAGCGATTCTAGGTAGGAGCTGGGCAGGATCAGCTACCACCACAACACAGGCCAGGGCGGTGTCGTCATGTACCAGGTTGCTTTCGAGGTGGCAAGCCATGTATTGCTATCTCAGTCACCCTCTCCTCCCCTGTAAAAGGAACATCAAATGTATCCTACCAGACAGTAACGACTTTCCTTCTTGGAGGGGACAAGCTGGGGACAATTTGATTTTTGTCCCCCAGTGTAAGGAATACAGAAAACACTGGGTCAACAGGCAAGAAGGGGGGACTATCCTCTTGGATAATATGTTTACATATATCATCCCAAATTCATTTCAGGCTAAAACACTTTTGAAAGGAAAACAGATCTAAGTACGTAACTAATTGCGAGTTAAATGACTTTTCTTCTTCTAGCCATTTGTTCCCCAGTAATCTCTGTGTAGAGAATTTCTGTAACATCCAGGCAGCCGTAGTTAACTGAGTATACATATCACTACCTGTAAAATCAAGGCAGCTTCTACTAACCCCGAATGATCTGGAATCAACCCAAAGAAGAAACCATTTAGCCATCCTCTTCACAAATCCATTTTAAGGAGTGAGGTGATTAAAGAGAAAGCCAAGTGCTCAGTTAACTCATGTGGACTGGTGGCTCCTACTTCTGCCCATCTGACATACTGTCAACCTCATTCCACTTTCATATGGTAATATACCAAGTTCTCCTGACTAGCGGGGTCTGTACTTGTTAAAAATAAGATTTAGAGAAGAACAATCAACTATTTCAATGACTGACAAGTGTTCCAGTAGACTAATAACAGGCCATAAGCTATTAAGAGTTTAAATGAGGCTGAACTCTGAAGGTGTAAGAGCAGCACTGTTCCATCTATATTTATCTTGAGATCATAACTAAAGTAACGTTTGTGTTGACTCGAGAAAGGGAAATTTCCCAGATCTAGAAAAGGCTGGGCCACCAGATATTTCACTCCCTATATTTTTAAACAAGGGAGGGCTGAGGGGAAAAACAAGTGTGTAAATGCTATTAGAGCCTTTCCGGTGTTAACAGACCACAGTGGGGCAGGGAGAGGAACAGACACTTGGTCACTAAAGGACAAAGGAGAGATGGAGGGTAAATAGAAAAGGGGAAGAATAAAAAGGCAGGAAAGGGGAAGGGAGGCTTTGCTAATAAAGGCAAACTTTATTGTCTTCACATTTCTGTCTAGGATTGGTCCAATTTATCTTCTTTCGACAGTGTGCAGACAAATTGAAGGTGCATACAAAGGCATCTTGCTATGCATGGCGTCAGAGCCAAGGAGGTACACGGTGATGCTAAAAATATCTAGACCCACATTGATTCTCAAGATGAATAAAGTTATATTGCTTGTTTGTCTGTTTTACATATTTGGCTTCCTTACAAAAGAAGCTTCATTCCAAAGTGAAATAAGAAAAAGCAGGTGACGTCAAAGTATAGCCATGACCCACATATTTATTTCCATCATTCTAAACAGTCAGAATTGAATTCCACTCAGCTCCATTTTATTAAAAAGCTATTTAGATACAAAAGGGACAAAGACTAGTGAACTACATGTACCACCATGAATTATGCCAAAATTTTTATCCTAAATAAAACGATTCCCACAGGAAATCCTGTTTCTGCTCCCAAAGAACATGTTCTTTTTTTCAGAGAGAATAGGAAAACAAGACCCTACTCAAAAAACAAAAACAAAAACAAAAAAAACCTGAGAGAGGGTAATGAGGTCAGATTCACTTGTGGGCATTTTTTCAAACTACTCATCCTCCTGTAGATTCTGATACACTCTCCTAAAGCACCTCACCATTATAAAGCACTGCTCATCATAATATGCAATGTCACTCAAGCGTGCAGAGAAAGAGAAGCCTGAGAACCATACTGCAACAAGAAAAGGATGCCTCTCAAAAGGTCTTTAATTGCCATGCATCTGTGGCTATCAAAACTGAAATACCAGAACTACTGTACTTGAAGGCTAAAGACCACAGTCTTGAGGGACATCTAGGTCAACTGACAAAACACAGTTCATAAGGACAATGTTCTACATCCTAGCCTGGTGAGTAGTGTCTGGGGTTTTAAAAGCTTGCAAACAGCTATCTAAGAAGAACTACTGGTCTCTTCTTGCCTGGAACAAAGTAGAACAAAGGAAACCAAAGATTCAAGGACGCAATCAGTCCAAAAGACTAATGGCCCACATGAACCACAGCCTCCTCTAACCTGAGACCAGAAGAACTAGATGGTGCCCATCTATCACTACCGACCAACCACTCTGACCGGGATCACAATAGAAGATCCTGGTTAGAATGGGTACAAAACAGAAAAAATAAATAAATAAAATTTAAAAAAACAAAAAACAGACTTAGTGGTCTGAAAAAGACTGGAGGAACCACTGAGACTAATGTCCTAAGACAATGTTCTAACTTGATACTGAAGACACTCACGGAGGCCACCCTTCAGCCAAATAATGTTGTTAGGTGCCGTCGAGTCAGTTCCGACTCATAATGACCCTACGTACAACAGAACAAAACACTGCTGGGTCCTGCACCATCCTCACAATTGTTACTACGTTTACACCTGTGAAAAATGTGCTCCTTAGAACAATCATCTACACGGGACCAAAAGGGCAACATTTGCCCAAAAACAAAATATGAGAACGCAGGAAGAGACAGGCAAACAGGACTAATGGAAACAGGGAACCACTCAGGGAAGAAATGGGGAGAGTGCTGACACACTGCAGGGATTGCAAGCAATGTCACCGAACAACTAATCCAAGAATCACTGATTGGAAAACTAATTTGCTATGTAAACTTTCACCTAAAGCACAATAAAATGTTCAAAAAAAGAAAAACAAAACCTGAAGAACCATACCAAAAAAATGTCATGATCAATGGCCACAATCAAAAGAAGAAAAATCAAAAACATAGTAAGAATATTTACTGAGTCATTAATAATAACAGTGTTAATTAGGGATAGCCAAGTGATGATGATGATTACTTTTGATTGCTGTTAAGAATAATAATAAAAAAATAAAACTATGAGACTGATTCTCTAGACTTATACATCAGTCACTAGAGAAGGGACAAAATGATGCTCTCTTCCAGCAGAGGGTCCATACACCTAAGTAAATGAAAGCAGCAAACCACCAGTAGCTGTACCATCAGTGCATTCACCCACAAAAACTACATTAACTTGAATAAGTCAAATTCTTCACTTACCATTTGTTAGTCTATCAAATAGAAAGATATCAAAATTCCAATTTCCAACTTTTTCCAGCATACACTGAAATGAAAACCAAACATTCCTACTGTAATTTAATTTCTATAACATTCTCTATCTTTTGTAGATGGTCCATAGAGAAGTTAATGAAAATGGAAAGTGACTGATTTACTTTAAGAAACGCCAATTATCATTTTCCTTTTAATCATGACTTTTCCAATTGGCTCCAAACAAGAATAAAGTCCAAAGGCATAAACTCCATTTGAAAAACAAAACATTGTTTTATTTTTCAATTAATGGATGTATAGGTAAGGATAGTATTTAACTTATTCCTAAAATCTCATGAACTTTCATGAATCTTAATATAATTTAACATCAATTTAATGTGGTTCATACGTTGCATGGTCTAGAAGCCAGATTTTAAAACCTAGTAAAAACAAGTTGTAATAGCTATTAAGCGCTTACTACATTCCAGGTACTGTTACACGTGCTTTACTCACTCTATTACTCACAACACTAGCAAGCAGGTGCTATTTGCAATTTTCATTTTATAGATGGGGAAACTGAGGCAAAAAATACCTTGCTCAGCAAGAAAGTGATAGAACTGGGATCTTAAATCAGGTAGTCTGATTCTGGAACCTAGCTGTATGACATCTATACTATACCATACTTATTTGTTATTCTATTTTTTTTTAAACACTCCACTTATGGAGAATTTTTTTATATGCATTTACTACATTAATTTTTAGGCCGGTACTTCAGCCAAGCAAATAAATCCCACAAAGACCTTAAATTCCAAATAGATTATATTTTTATACCATATATTCTTAACCTGAAAATTTTGTGCCTCTTGTTTTCAAGAAACAAACTTTTATTTTACACCCCAAATTTAGTGTTGTACACATTCATGAATAAATACACGAGCAACACTAAGATATTACTAATAGAGGTCACTAATCATGATAATACGAGCAACAACCAGTGATTTACAGATCAATATTCTCATCCTAGAAAACAGAACTTCTGAACTGACTTTTTAAAATTTAAACAAAGCATGAACACTCTCCATTGATTTCTTTCATCTTAGAGGGAAGCAAAATTTTTCACTTGAATATAATTGTAAAGAAGGTGCCCTAGCAATACAAATTTACAAAATCTAGCCTATAAATATTAAGTCAAAGAATAATTTACAATATATTAAAAACTTAAAAATAGTAAGAAGTCTCATTTGGTCAAAACTAAGCTCATCTAACCTCCACCTTCATTAAGACATTATCTTTTTATTATATAAAGGTGAAGTAAATAATGCTCACAATCACCAGGTTTAATTAAAATCATGTCCAAATTCTCAACATATCGCACTGATGCAAGAGTCTATGAAAAATCATTTGACCAAAAGTCGTAAGACCAGACAGACTTCCTTTGCTGGGTTTACCTCTAACCAGCTGGGTGAGCTCAAACAAGTCCCTTATGCTTTCTAGGCCTTAGTTTCCTTACCTATAGAATACAGATGTTGGATCAAGTCATCTCTAACATTCTGTCCAACATTAAGATTCTTTGTAAACGTATAGCTTAATGTTCTACTGATCTACTTGTTATTTTATGTCAAAATAAATGAAAATACTTCCATCATTTTAATTGTTTCAGCAATTTCCCTTGCTCTGTAACACCAAATTATAAAACAAACAGCCGCTCTCAAGGAAAAATCTGAAAAATGGGCCCAACTTATTTCTACAGATAAAATAGGTCTCTGTAAATTGTACCATATGGAAAAAAAGGTCTTCATTAAACTTATAAAAAAAAAAGTAATGTTTTCTTAAAGCTATACACACCTTGGCTTGTCCATTATAATCGTCATCTAAAATGTTTAGAGAATTTGAAACTGTAGTACCACGAAAAAACCGTGAAGATCTAAGATATCTCTGGAAACTTAGTAATCTCCTGATATTCCTTGCAGAGACAGAAACTTCAAATTCAGATTGAGCTGAAATAAAATGAGTAAAAGGTGAGTATACTAAGTCATAACTGTGCATAATGCTATCTTTGAGATACTCCTTCTAGTTAAAAAAAAGTTTTTAAAAAATAATCATTATACCACATTTCTAGAAGAGAACAGGATTTTATTTTTACTTTCAGTTGAAAAACTAAGAATGAAAAGGTAAATGGCCAATTTTTTTCTTTTCTTTTTTTAAAATGTATTTTATTTTTCTTGTTGCTGAGAATATACACACACAACATACACCACTTCAGCAATTTCTACATGTACAGTTCAGTGACACTGATTATACATTCTTCAGGTTGTACAACCATTCTCACTCTCCTTTTATGAATTGTTCCTTCCCCATTAATATAAACTCACTGCCCCCTAAATTTCATATCTAGTCTTTTGAGTTACTGTTGTCAATTTGATCCCATATAGATAAATCTTAAAAGAGCACAATGCTCAAGGCAGACATTCTTTGCTAGTTAAGCTAAACTATTGTTTGGTTTTAAGAAGACTTCAGGGGATATTTTTGGTTTAAGTTTTAAAGATTATTTCAGGGCAATAGTTTCAGGAGCTCAGTCAACCTCCAGAGCTCCAGAATGTCTCAATTCCATGAGAATTTGAAATTCAGTTCTGCATTTTCCCCCTTTCGATCAGAATTCTTTTACAGAATCTTTGATCAAAATGTTCCGTAATAGTAGCTGGGCACCATCCAGTTTTTCCGGTCTCATGGCAAAGGAGGCAGTTATTCATGGAGGCAATTAGCCATACATTCCATTTCCTCCTATTCCTGACTCTCCTTCTTCCTCTGTTGTTGTACCTTAAATGGCCAGTTTTGAAGCACTTAGAAGTCTAATGAAGAGTGTGGCTGGAATAACAATCAGTTTTCTTTTACATTCCAAGAATTATCATCTACCATGCTACTGTTTGAATACATTATAGGAACATTATGGAGCAGAAAGACAAAATGTGGTTTCATATTACCTTTTGCATTGAGAAGACAGGTCTGAAGTTACACACGAGACTGTAACAATTATACAATTAAAACATCTCAAATCCTAATGAGGTATCATTTCAAATGTTTCCTTATTATTTGATTTAGAGGAAAAGGAGATGGAATGTGGAACAAAGTATCCTAAAGGGTTCTAAAGGATAGTGATAAAAACTGTGCACGGTGAAAACTCTAGAAAAGATGTGGTTCCACATTAGACACAAATACATCTTTCTATATGTTTAACACAGCCATTTTCCCCTCTAGTATTAAGATAAACTCAAGTTTCTTTGATTGAGCACCAGATGAAACAGTAGACTTAGGTTAAGAGCTATCTTGTAGGGAAAATACCTATCTTTATATTCTAGAATCCAACTAAATTCAGTTAAATGTTCACACTATAAAACACATAAAACTTAAGACTAACGATCAACAAATCACCATCTTTCACCTTCACTGACTTGCATTAACTTATAATCACCAGGTGGAATGATAGGTAATTGAAAAAGCCCTTCCCCAAAATGATAATCTTTTTTTTTTGTTTTAAGTTTCTTGCATATCCTTCCTGAGTTCTTTGACAAAATATATGCAAACAATATTATGTATTATTTTTCTACTTCTTTTACATAAATAGTAGCATGCTGTAAAACCAGTTCTGTATCTTGCTTTTTAATTTACCTTGGGGCTCTTTCCCTGTCGGTATAAAGAGCTTCTTCATTCCTTCACTAGGCTGTGAAGTATTTCATCATATGGATGAGCCATCATCTATTTAACCAGTTTCTTTCTGAAGAACAGTGCTACAGTTTTACAGTTTGCAAAAACACCTCTGTTATTTTCGACAAGGGTGCTGAGTCCATCCAATGGGGAAAGAACAGTCTCTTCAATAAATTGTACTGGGACAACTGGATTTCCAAAAACACAAGAATGGACGTATACCTCACATCAAATAAAAACTAACTCAAAATGAATCAAAGATCTAAATGTAAGAATTAAAATTATAAAATTTTAAGAGGAAAACATAGGGGTAATGCTTCAGGACTTAGTTTTTCACAATGGATTCTTATATAACACCGAAAGCAAAAGCATCAAAATACAAAATAGATAAATGGGACTTTATCAACATTAAAAACTTCTGTTCATCAAAGGACTTCATAAACAAAGTGAATACACAACCTACAGACTGGGAGACAAATTTTGGGAACCATATATGTGATAAGGGTTTAACATAACATATATGTGGTAAGAATATATAAAGAACTCCTATAGCTTAACAGCAAAAAGACAAACAACCCAATCAAAAAAATGGGCAAAGGACTTGAATAGGCATTTCACCAAAGAAGAAATACAAATGGCTGTGAAAAGTTGAGCACATAAAAAGATGCTAAACATCATTAGTCGTTGCAGTTACTAGGTGCCATCAAGTCAGTTCCAACTCATAGCAACCCTATGTACAACAGAATGAAACACTGCCCAGACCCATGCCATCATCACAATAGTTGCTATGTTTGAACCTAGTGTTGCAGCCACTCTGTCAATCCATCTAGTTGAGGGTCTTCCTCTTTTTTGTTGACCCTTTACTTTGCCAAGCATGATGTCCTTCTCCAGGGACTGACTCCTCCTGATAACATGTCCAAAGTACCTGAGACAAATTCTTGCTATCTTCGCTTGTAAGGAGCATTCTGGTTGTACCTCTTCCAAGACAGATTTGTTCGTTCTTCTGGCAGTCCATGGTACATTCAATATTCTTCGCCAACACCATAGTTTAAAGGCATTGATTCTTCTTCCGTCTTCCTTATTCATTGCCCAGCTTTCATAAGCATATGAGGCAATTGAAAATACCATGGCTTGGGTCAGGCCCACCTTAGTCCTCAACCACCTTAGTCCTCAAGGTGACATCTTTGCTTTTTTAACACTTTAAAGAGGTCTTTTGCAGCAGATTTCCCTAATGCAAAACATCACTGGATTTCTTGACTGCTGCTTCCATGAGTGTTGATTGTGGATGCAAGTAAAACGAAATCCTTGACAATTTCATTCTTTTCTCCATTTATCATGATGTTGCTCATTGGTCCAGTTGTGGTGATTTTTGTTCTCTTTATGTTGAGGTGTAATCCATACTGAAGGCTGTAGTCTTTGATCTTCATCACTAAGTGCTTCAAGTCCTCTTTGTTTTCAGCAAGTAAAGTTGTGTCATCTGCGTATCTCAAGTTGTTAATGAGTCGTCCTCCAGTCCTGATGCCACGTTCTTCTTCATATAGTCCAGCTTCTTGGATTATGTGCTCAGCATACAGATTAACTAAGTATGGTGAAATGATACAACGAAATAACTCAGTCATAAAAGTAAAAATATTGTATGATCCTACTTATATGAAATACTAGAATAGGCAAGTGTATAGACACCAAAGTTTATTAGTGGCTACCAGGGGCTGGCGGGAGGGAGGAAAAAAGGGAGACTCATTGCTTAGGAGACAATGAGCTTTTGTTAAGAGTGATGGAAAAATCTGGAAAAGGAATAATGGTGAAGGCTGAACAACATAATGAACATAATTAATGTCACTGAATTACATATGTAAAAAAACACTGTAACGGCTAATGTTACAAATATATATACCACAAAAAACTGTTGTGTCAAAATGCTCCTGATTTGTCAACTTTAAATATCATCCTTTAATTTTCAGTTATTACACACAAGCATATCACTCTATCTTCCTTCCTCCTCCAATTTTTGTCATTTGTCAGAGCATGTAACATTCATATTTTTTCCTTTCACCCTATACCCACCCCACTTTCATTTTAGATTTATTTCTAGAATTAACTATATTCAGTATTGCAAGTCCTTTTATCATGGTTTCCTCAGTTATCTTTTGGTTCGGTTAGGTTCATCCTCTAGTAGTTTTCTCAAGAAAGGGGCTCATGAAAAGAATATATATTGGGTTCTTGAATGTTCAAAACTTTTTTCTATAGTCTTTGTACTTGAAGGACAACTTGAATGAATATAAAATCCTTGACTCTCATTTTCCTTCCTTGAGCTTATTGAAGGCATTAGTTCACTGACTTCTGGCACTGAGATCTGCAAAATCTGAGGGAAACCTGATGTATGCCCCCTTATAAGTGACTTGGTTTTTTTTTTAACATGGACACCCACTGAATTATCTCTATCTGTAAAATCCAATGACTTTACTAAGACATAGCTCAGTGTTAACCATTCTGGGTTGTTTTCTGCTGGTACATGGTGTGCTCATTCAATATATAAATGCAAATCTTCTGTTATTTCTGAAAAGTTTTCTTGAATTATATCTTTATATATTTACTCTGTTCTACTCTTTCAGCTTTCTTATTCGAAGACTTCAAACTGTCAATGCTGAATCTCCTATAACTCACTTTCTCTTGAATCCTTTTTAACTATTTGTTTTGTTTTGTTTGCTTTTTTCATTTCTATCCACTATGTTCCTACTGTTTACTGCAGTGTGCATTCTATCTTGTGCTCCTTACAAATTTGTATTCATTTCTGTGATACATTTGAAATTTACCCCTACTATTTCCTGATTCTGAGTGTACATGTTTCAACTTCTCTTGTTGTCTTGTCTGATTATGCCTTCCCTAAGTTTTTGAATTTGTTCTTTGTGGGGAAGCTGTTGCTTCATTTAGTTTTTTAAATGAGTGGGAGAAAAATTTGTTCACAATTTTCATCAGCTCCAAGGCCACATTTTTCTCTTAAGTGCACTTCAATCGTTGTTAAGTTCTGCTGCTCTCTTCCACTGTTTTGCTTAATTATCTGATATATTAGCTCTTCTGGGATTAGCAGCCCCAAGCCTTCTCTTCTGCTCAATCCAGGGCCAAGAATGGGGAAAAGTGGCATAAGAGGGCTTATTTGTCTAGAAACAACCATTGTTAACTCCTTGGCACTCTATTTTTCTATGAATTATTTTATATATGTACATATATACATAGCAGGGAATCTGGCCTGATGATCTACTTCAAAAAATCAGCCAACAAAAACCCTTTGATCACA